ATTGAAATGATGTTTAAATAAAAAGATCTTTACCTGGCGCCGAAAAACCAGTAACGACGGTGCCAGGCGGACCTCTTTGGGCAGTGAATTCCATAGGCTGGGCGCCACCGCAGAGAAAGCCCTCCTCCGAGTACTTGCTCTCCTAATTTCGTTCATGGAGGGTTCCCGGAGAAGGGACTCTCCCGCAGATCTCAAAGGGCGGTCGGGCATATACGGACGTAAGCGCTCGTTCAGGTAGCCAGGACCCAAGCCATTTAGGGCTTTATAGGTCATCACCAACACCTTGAATTGGGCCCGGGCTTCAATGGGCAGCCAGTGAAGCTGACGGAGGACTGGAGTCATGTGAGCGTAACGCCCCGTCCCCGTCAGCAGCCTGGCAGCTCTATTTTGCACCAATTGAAGTGATGATGATACAAAGCAGACACAAAGCAGCAGAAAGACTACGGATGAGAAAAGAAAGTTGCGGAGGGCAGGTGTCAGGTGAGGTAAACGTTCTAATAAGGATGGCAGTGCAAAAACAACCTGTGTGGAGAGGTGAGAGAAGCGAGGGGAGAAATGAATCTGCAGAGAATTCTGCAGGTAGGCAAACCGATGGAGCAGGGTCAAATAGTAGGTTTCACACGTGGTAAGAGTTGGGGGAAGGGAGTATCTTGTATAAGCAGCTGTCACCAACCACACATCTTGACCTGCAGCCCTCATATTCTCCTTCCATTGGTGATGCTGGCTTGGGCTGATGAGAGTGGTAGTCCAAAACATCTAGGTGCATGCACCAGGTTGGGGAAGGCTGCCCACATAGGACAGTTAAATAATTTTTATTATATATTGGATTTATAGCCTACCTGTTTTTCCTCCTGTGAGCTTCATGGCCAAGAGGGAACTAGAACCTGGATCTTTCAGGTCCCCAGACTAACACTGTCACTACCACACCACACTGGATCGTAACTACAAGATATGTGCATGCTCTGGAAGAGGGTTCAGAGAGACCTGGCCTTGCTCAGCCACCCCTTGAAAAGTATGCACTATTGTTAGCAAGAAGCAGAATCTCCCGAGTACGCTGGAAAAAGTCCAGGACCCTCTGCAGCCATCTGGACCAGGTAGCTGCATGTAAGAATAAAACAATGGCTACTAGTCATGATGGTTATGTATTACCTCAGTATCACTAGTGGTGTACCTCCAAATACCAGTGGCTGGGATGGGGAACATTGGTGCGCATGTCTTGCTGTGAGCTTCCCATGGGCCACAGTGTCAGACTGGAGGCTGGCCAGTTGGTCATTCAGCCTAACCTAACTACAAGGGTGGCTCTCCTGAGGATAAAAGGGGACTAGGTAAGTCGTCTTGGGGTGCTTACAAGGAGGAAAACAGGCAGGCTATAAATGCAATATATAATAATAATTAAACATGTTGGTTGTCCGGATGTTTTCGACTACAACCCCCATCCACCCAAACCAACACGCCCAGCGGCTGGAGAGAGTGAGAGTTGTGGCTGAGGGCAACTGGGGGGCACCAGCACGCTCCTTCGCGGGCCGCAGCCAACCTCGGCGAGGAGACCCGCGAGGAAAGCGCGGGGAGAGCAGCCCGCCCCCGGCGGCCTCCACGAGGGCTCCCCGCACCGCCCCTTTTCCCAGGCCGCGCCTCCTCCTCCAGAGCCTTGCGCGCTCCGCGGCTGCGTTCGCCGCCCTTTGGAGCCTTGCGCACGCCAATCGGAAGCGCGGGCCGCGGATCCCGGGGAGGAGGAGGCGGGCGCCGGAAGCGAGGCAGGGAGGCGATTGGACGGGTGGAGAGCGGGATGGGGCGGTGTCCTCGCTGTGGCCGGAGCCCTGCGTGGCAGCCGCTCGCAGCGCTGCTCGCGGGGGAGAGGCGATGGCGCTGGCCGCGCCGGTCCTGGCGGCCGCGGTGCTCCTGCTCTGCGCCTGCCCGCGCGGCGGCGAGAGCTCCCCGCGCAAGGCGGTGGCTGCTCGGCTGGCGGCGAAATGGCCGGCGACGCCGTTGCTGCTGGAGGCCAGGTGCGTGTGCGAGGACGGGCGCGCGTCCGGGCGCGGGAAGGGTCGGCGCAGGGCGGCAGGGAGCAGAGATCGGGACCCGATGAGCTCTCTGCCCAGGGGGCCTCCGGAGGCAGAGGCCGGCCGCGGGGCTGCGAGCGCTGGCACGGCTCCTTTCCCCCGGATCTGCCCTGGGGAAGCGGGGTGGAGGACTGGATGAAGCAGAAAGCAGAGGGCACGTTAGCGTTCTTGCGAGGTGGGGAACGGCGTGGGTTGAATCTAGACTTATTTGGGGTAGACCTATTGGAACCAGTGGGAATTAACTTAAGTCATGTCTAAGTTAAGTCTCGCTGATTTCCATGCGCCTGCTTTAAATAGGTCTCAGCCCGGATCCATCCCCAGATACAGAAGGGGTTGCGCTGTTCCTTTGAGTGACGAGGGTGAGTTGAGCTCACTCGCTGGACCTGGAGGAGGGATGCGGACTTCTTCAGAGTTTCTGGGAATAACAGACATGATCTGATTTAGAATCACGTGGGCCTCAAAAGCTGAGAACCGCTGCAGTGTAGTAGCTAGGGCAGGACTAGGTAGGGGCGAGTTCAAATCCGCGCTTGCATGGAACATGTAATTGCGAAAATCAGTTTTTTAAAAATCTACATCCAGCAGTTCTGCGAATCTTGTTCCCACACCATGAGATAGCAAAAGTAGTAAACTGTCATATCAGGATGTCATGCACACCGAAATTAGTAACTCAAGAGGTTTGATCCTTATACCACTTCACACTTTTGAACAAGGCTATTTTTTTGTGTACTGTGCAAAAGTGATCCTCCATCTGCTAAGTTTAAAGTGATATTTCCACTGTCCTCGAAGGGAAGAAAATGAATCTGCGTGTCTAAACACTAGTTTGTCCAAGTATTCTCCTATGCCCAAGCAGAAACTGTGCTTGCTATAGCAGTAGTTTTCAATTTGGCATCCTGCCGCCTGTCCTGCTTTCCTCAAAATAGATGCCTTTGAATTCATTCTATGGCTTAGCAATAAATAAACCAGTATCCAGGCTTCTGAGATTATGCTACTGACTGCTTAAAATCTAGTGCTGGTTGAAGACTTTGCCTAGCTTCTTCTGTTGATTGTGCAATCAGTCAAATTTTGACTAGCAAAACTTGAACAACTTAATAAAAAATCGATCAATAACAAAGAAAGATCTAGTTGGCCACTGGGCTGATTTTATGATTATTATTACCTTATGTGTTGAGATGAAACAAGAGAAACTGCTTAGAGACATTGGGCTGGATCAGATTAGTTAGTTAGGCTTTGCTGCTGTTATGTGTTCTCAAGTAATCTCTGACTTAAGGTAACCCTTTGAATGAGTGCCTTCCGACATATCCTGACCTTGACAGCCCTGCTTAGTGCTTGTCAATTCAAGGCCATGGCTTCCTTTATGTAATCAATGAATCTCATATTTGGTTGTCCTCCTTCTTCTACCACTGCCTTTGACGGTCCCTCGCATTATTGTCTTCTCCAGTGAGTGTGCCTTGCCATGATGTTTCCAAAGCACACCACTCCCAGTTTTGTCTTTCCCTACTCCAAAGTTCTGGCTTGATTTGTTCTAGCACCCACTAGTTATGCTTTAGTTGCTTTGAAACAAATAGGACAAATCTAACTTAAATCCCATTGATTTCAATAGGACAAAAACATGACTGACTTTAAACTGGATGGGGATGGTCAACTTATGCCCCGCCAGAGGTTTTGTCTGCAACCCTCACCATCAGCTATGCTGTCTCAGGTGGATGGGAGTTGTACTTCAACCACTCTAGAACCATAAAATCCCATCCCTAATCTGGATCTAATCCAATGTGTGCAAAAATGCACAGCCTTTATCTAATGTATCACAACCCTGCATGGGAAAAAATGAAAGTGATATGAAAATCATTCTTTAAAAATTATCTAATGGTATCTATCTCATTAACATTCTGAATTTAAAAGTATCGACTAAATTATAGGCTTCTTCCATCGTAGAGTACATTCGATATAAATGTTGTACCATCAGATTTCATATGTGCTAAATATGTGGAAGAATGTGGTGACATATCTTGCATGTCCTCTCACACTCAGCTTTCATCTGCTCAGTTTACAGTGCAGTCCAGTCTGCTGAGGTCATGGTGACTGAGCGCCTTTACTGAAATTCTGAGGATAAATAATAGCATTAGATTTGTTCAATCCACCTCAATAATGCACCTGCTAGTACATGTTCTTGGGTGTCTCAAGTGAAGGGTAATTCTAAGCATTTTTACTCCAAACAAATCCCTCTGAGTTCAGTGGGATTTATGCCCCGTAATTATTTAGGATTGCAGCCTTAGCCTTGGTTTCCTGGTGCTGCTAGGAAGATTGGTGCTGTCATCCCATGTAAGTGATTGAGCACTTAATAAAATACGTGCTTGTGGGATCCTGCTCATCTTGGCTACAAGCACAGAATTGTGTCGATTGTTTTGATTCAGAGGACTTACCCTGCCTTGCTCTGTCTTTATTGGTCTCTGACTTAAGCTATTAGGCTGCAACCTACAAATGGTTTGCTGTAATGGCTCTGTTAATCCCAAAGAACTTTCACCACTGTTTAGGTGAGTGGTAGATTGCCCTGAGGGCTGCATGTGCTGATGGCTTGCAGACAGGAGTGATCCTAAGACAAAGAGAATATGTAATTCCTGTGACAGGAAAAGAGCAGTCTGCATGAACATCTCTGGGGAAGGCAAGGCAAGGCAGCATGCAGCTGGCAAGAAAACTTCAGGGGATCACAGTAGAGTCCACTGGGGACTGCATGCAGCCCCTAAGCCATAGGTTGTGTTCCATTGTGATAAACTCGTATGCTTTTTTTCAAAGTGTGTGTCTTTGCTGAACTGCATTAAAAGATTAATTATTGTACATGATTTTAACAGTGAATTCATTGCAGAAGAAAGCAATGAGCAATTCTGGCAGTTTTTGGAAACAGTGAAAGAATTAGCAGTATACAAAAAAGGAGGTAAGTAACTGCTTTTTTAAAAAAAATGTTAGTTTGGAACATCTGGAGGAACAGATATTTCTGGGATTTTTACTGTATAATGTTGTGAATGGCTTGAATGCTTTAAACCCACATGTCACTGTGTAATCTGCTGCCACTGGAACTTCATTTTCATGGTACGTCACATGAAAATAAAGAATGCTTAGATGTCTCCAGGACATGTTAATGCCTGACAGAGTAAATCCAAATGGTGTCGTGCACTCTTAACATCTAAGCACAGGGCCAACATATCACACAAATGAGTGATGTGATAGATGTCATACTGAGAACTCCTTTTCCTAATCCCTCATCCTGCCTCACTTCCTTAGTTGTCAAAGTTTTCTTTTTCCACCCGCAAATTTCAGGTATCAGCATCCTAGAGTCTTGGTGGAGGGGAATGTATCACGGAGGAGGTTGCTGCTGTTGATTTTACAGGCAAGCTTTGGCCACACCACAATTCTGTGGAGGCTTCCTACTACTTCCCCGATGACGCACATTTAGGTTCTGTAGAGCTATGCAGGTCTTTTTGTACTTTCAGCATCTCCTAGCAGGGAAATGTGACTCTCAACAGATCCAAGGGGGCATTCAGGGACAATCAAAGCAAGGAAGTGTCGGCCTGGATGGTAGGAGAGCTGCTCTGGATTGGACAATACTTTAAACAGCCTGTTGTCCTTTTAACTGGACTAATAGGGTTTGTAAAATTATGTTGTCATCATGTCCTACAAACTTTGAGTTTAGCAGGGGCTTCTTGGTGCTTGAGCAATTGTTGTGGTGTTCTGCAAGAAAAGCAAGGGGGTGGAATGAACATAAACAGATAGCACAAACATTAAAATAAAAGAGAGAGAATGGGAGAAAGCCATATTGCCTTCTTTTTGGCTCCTTTGATGCTTGTCAATTTGAGGGTTGAACAGGGAACTCATCAGATGCTAAGGGCTGCATCCATGAGGAAGCTTCTCCTTCAGACAGGAAGTTGTGTTTTCTTTCCTCTTTGTTCTGCATTTCAGAAGAGGTGATCAGAAGCTTTCAGCGCTAACTGCAAATACGCCGCATTTCCCTGTTCCCTCTGCGCTTGGGGGAAAATGGTTTGTTTATATTTCCTGAGAACAAACAGGTGTTGGCTTGTTCACTAAAGGCACCATTCCATGCATATTTTGATGGGGAAAAATTCTTACGTGGCAATCCCTAGCCAGCCACACCCTTTCCATCTAAACAGGAAAAGAATTGTGTCCTGGGTGGATTTGAAACTAACCACAGTTTTCTGAGTACTGACATATGGGAGACCTATCTCCGCTTATAACACTGACACAATAGCTTCCCATCTCCTCTTCACAGCTTCAAAAAAGGAGGGGAAAGAAGGGCACATGGAGGCTTGTTCAAATAAGAGACCGTGGTTTGTTGTTACTTCTGAATTGGGCCATTCTTTGTAGGCAAAATTAAGGATAATATTTCAGTTTAGGGTTGATACTTTTTAATGTGCTTTGTGTTAAACTCCCCAGAGAGCCCAGTGGGTTATGGGATGGTATTGAAGTATAATAAATTGATAAATACATAAAACTGCAACATGAAACTTCAACTATTACACAGCACAGCCTTCAGAGTACAACACTGTCTGAGTCCAAGGAATATGGGTTGTGTGAATAGATATGCAAACTAAATGTATCTGTTCTGACCAGCAGATATGCCTGGAATGTGAAAAGAATGGACCCATTCCCTGCTTAATTTCTGTGAGCTGTGGTGCTTTTTCCAGGCTCTGGGAAAAAGAGAGGAATTGTGTGGGGAAAAATAAGGATATGTAAATACATCCCAAATTATTCACTTAGACCTTGAATTAAAGCAAAGTCTATTTTACTTCCAATTTGTCCAGGGTTTAGAATGTGCAACAACTGTTCCTTTATTTTTTTCTTTTAGATGTTTAAACCCCTTTCTCAATTCGAATTCTCATGGGGGCTTTCATGGAAAAAGAATAAAATGCCATTACACCTTGCATTCCCCCACCCCCCTCTTACACACTGCATTCTTCTGGTGGGTGCTCTTTGCAAAACCACTATTCTCATTCCATCGCTGTGGTTTTTCCCATTGCTTTTCTTGCCTCTCTGACTGCTGGCAGTCAAGGGGTCAGTGCAGTTGTTTCTTGTGTGATCCTTTTCCCGTTCGCCTTCCAGAACTGCAGATCCATTCACTGTCTGAGGGCAGAGAAGGAGCGAGGGCAGCGATAGTCATCATGTTCCAAAATATCGAGTACATGTAGTCTCCAGGGGGTTTGCTCCATTGGTCTATTGCAGCAAAAACAGCAAAGACGACCCCTTAAGATGACACATGCATCCTTGGCACAGGTTTCCATAGACGGTAGTTCATTCGAATGGCTGCTCAGTCTGAATATTCCATGCACAAAAGCAACAACTGTGTTGTTATGAGGGCGGTGTTGTCTTTTAAATTTTTAATCCTTAAGGATTTGCCCAGGTGTTCAGTCAGCATTGGAGCCCTAATTGCTATTTGTTAAAAGAAAATGATATATGTAATCACTTGCTTCAAAAACAGCCTGTGCTCTCGCTGTTGTTTATTCACGCTCCTAGTTACTCCGTGTCTTTCTCTTGCACACCACTGTTGACATGCAGTTTCCCCTTTGCCTTTCCATCAGCACAACATTTATTCCTTTTTTTTAGTTCACAGCACACCAGGCATTTGCTTTAGTCTATGCCACCCTTCACTGGGTAAAATGATTCATGTTAATATAAAGTAATACATTATTCCGCTTCAAACCTCTTCACTACTCCAGGTTGAAAGAAGCAATCAGTGTACACCTAGAAACATGATTTTCTAAGAAATTCTTCTTCATGCGGTCCTTTTTGAGACAGCAGCTGTTTATTGTATTTGGGGTATTTCTGGGCCATCCAACACACAGAGTCTCTGGACGGCTCACAACGAAAAGCTGCTCAGATTCTCTGCTGCCCCATCAAAAGCACCAGTGGTGTTGTTAAGGCCATTGCAGCCATGGCGTTTCGTCAGCCCTTGCTCCTCTGGTGCTGCCCACCAGGGCTATTCTGCTGTAGGGCCGATGTTTAAAAGTTAAAAATCAAAATGAAAAAAATAAATTAAAAACCCATAAATATCTGCCTTTGTGGGAATAATACTTAACAGGGCATTCTATATTTGAATTGTAAAATCCCAGCCTGAGGAGTTGCATTTGTATTATTCTGAAAACTTATTTTTATTATTAGCAACTCATCAAAATGTTATTTCTTTCTTTCCTCTAGGGTCTTTCGGAAATGAACGCACAATTTTATATTGCCTTAATTTGCTGATGTTTGGGGTCAGATATTAACATCTCCCTTGTATTTCTTTTCTTCTTTTTTTGTACAGCTTCAGATCATTCTTATTACAACTTAATCTTGAAGAAAGCTGGGCAGTTCCTCACAAATATGCAGATTAACCTTTTGAAATTTTCACTTTCCTTACGAGCGTATTCCCCAACTGTTCAGATGTTTCAGCAGGTGTGTACAGTTGGCTGATGCCTGCTAGGAATCTTGGCATGGCTACAGTTCCCAAACGACTAGGCAGCTGCTTGATGGCAATCCCCAGGGAGAGTTTTCACACTTGGTACTCATGATGATGGTCTTCATTCCACCAGCCATTCTTCTGGGGAAGCCTTTCAAGTGGATTTGAAGGCTTGCTTGGTGCTACTGCAAACTTCCCTTCCAACCGGTTTTGCAGTAGCACGGTCTCTTGCTTGCTTAGCAAGCCACCGTGCCTAAATAGGGCTTGCTGAGCAGAGGAAAGCCCCATGGGAAGCAGTTCAGAGTGTCTTCCACATAGTGGCTGTGTTGTAAGCCCCAGCCTTGCGTCTGGAACAGTGCTGATGACTTTTAGCAGGATGCCTGTGGAGGCAAACGCTTCATACGATACCCAACCACAGGGCTGTATCCAGTGTGTGCTCCATGTCAGGTTTCACACAGGCCTCTCACTACAGGCAGAGCTAGTGAGCCATCCAGGACACATTCTGTGCTTGGTACGCTCCACTGTGGGTGCATCTTTACCAGTCCTGTTGCACCGGCAGGATCTACTGCTGCCGTAGCAACAGCGAGGGCTTCCTAAAGCAGCCCCGTAAATGTATGGAAATACTCATCTCTGGCAGGTCAGTGGATCAAATATTCTGTGAGCTCCGTGGCCCTGCTGTGTTCTGGCAATGAGAGCTTCCAGGCATCACTAGCTTCCCAGTGTCAGCCTTCCCTAGCCTGGTGCCCTTCTGCTGTTTTGGACCACAGCTCCAGATGGTACCACAATGGTCACGGATGCTGGGTGTTCTATTTCAAGACATTTGGAAAAGGTTTGAATCTTTTCCAGCTTGCAAAAGGTTGTCATATGTTATAAGAAACCCAGAATTTCTCAGTTCACCTGTTAGTTTCTACGCGTTGTGAAAGGGCCGATAAAGAGGCAGTGTGGAGCAGTGTGGAGTGTGGTGACTTCTCTAAGGGGTGGTTTTTGCACAGACACTCCAGCAGCCTATTAAGGTTAAATATTTTTTTAATCATTAAAACCAATCCATGCATTCGAGCCTCTGCTGTTACTGAGAACAATAAACAGAGAATGCAACTAATATACCCAAATAGTACTCTGGTTGAATTTCTCTTACATTTATGTGCATCATTGTTCATTTGGAGTTCAATTGGTCAAATGTTAAATGTTTTCCCTACCCTGCTTTGCAGAACTCAGGGGTTCCCATTTTAAGAAGCTTTTTAAAAACCATGAGTGAGAAATTGGCGCTATGTGCATCTGCAATTGATCGCCACTCCCAAATTTCCTTGCATTGGTCTAGAATCAAAGAAGTACAAGTGAACAGAAAACAGCTGTAATTCCAGAAACAGTTGTGCTAGTGTGTGGAAAGGAAAGGTGTAGCCCTTCAAATGTTTTTGGATCCCAGCTCCCAGCATCCTTTACCATTGGCCATGGTGGCTAGGATTGGTAGTACGATATGCTTTCTCCACTCCTGCAGTAGTGGAAGAGTTTCTATAGCACTGTAATGCATAGTGCAGCAATTCTAAGGTCCTTACACAGGTCGGTTTCAATTTTCTCACTGTGATGGAAAGGCCAGAATTGCCCTTCTGTGAACAGTTGACAATAATCTGCTTATGGAAGGGCACTTTTGGTTCTATCTTTTTGACTTGCTTCAGATATGACAGGAGCCTATGGTTTCCTGTAGTGAAAATGAGGAATGAACACTTTCTTTCTCCTTCCTCCTCTTTTGGGTGCATAAAGAAGAAAGCATCCACTGCTAGACAGTTTCCATTCTGTCCCCCACCACCCTCTGTTCAAGAACAATGAACAGCTGTCTAGTTCTGAACTGAGCATGCTTTGGTCTGGATAGGGTTAAACAGCTCATCAGCTGCAAACTTGCACTAACATGGAAAAAGGAAACTGCTTTCCATTGGTGTTGATCCCAAAATGGAGACAGATCTTGGTCGAATTAAAAGAAGCACTTACTTGCAACTGGATGCATGTGGTAAATGCAGGGGCTCAAAAGCAGTCTGCTTTTGCCACTTAGAAATTCTATCATGCTCAGGTGAGCAAAGCTTCTTCAAAAGCTTGCACACAAATGGTACCTCCGCTCTTTTGCTGAGGCCTTCAAAAAGCGGTACCTTGCAAAGATCCAAACCAATGGTGGTGGATGGAATCCCGAGAAAACGATACACTATTACTCCCGGGGTCCTGATCTTTTCATTATTTTCTCCTCACATACTTGGAACTTAGATATACAATGTGGTAGTGGCTGATGAGCTATTTTAATCAAAAGAAGGTACATTACTTTTACGATGAAATGCAATTACACCAGCTGCGTTGAGTGTAATTGTTGAAATATTAGATTGCAGCTGATGAGCCTTCCCCGAAAGGTTGCAGCGCATTTGTGGTTATCCATGGGAAGAGCACCTGCAAGGCTGATGAAATTAAGAAGCTTCTGAAGAAGGCCGCTGAAAGGTAAACGTGATAAGCTATTTAAATGGTCTAGTTTTGCTAGACAGAACAACAGATTTCGATAAAATAAAACCTTAAAACATGCAGCTTTGCTTTTCCTGTGTAAACATGGGTTTCAAACTCAACAGTGCATATCAGATATGTCATGTTTAGTTTGAGGAGTCTAAATCAAGATTCTGTAGCCTTGTGACTTACGTCTGAATCAATTCCTGACCCTGTTGTTTAGCTGAAGAACATCCTATTTAGCTCACGAACATCCATCATTCATTTGGGTTATATCCAAGAATAGTTCAACTTAAAGTAGACTCACTGAAATCAATGGGACTTAAGTTCTATTCATTTCAATGAGTTTACTCTAAGAAGGACTTTGGACACAGCCTTTTTCGGTTGCCTCATGTGCCTTTTAAAATCATTTTAGTCTAAAATGGAAGCAACCAACTTCTATGCTAGTTTCCATCTTTTATGCTGAAGACATTCCTTGCTCATCACAGGTGAGTTGGGAACTCCTGTTTACAAGGCTGGCTCTGGAAATGTTTTCATTTCAGACCAGGTTCGAAGTGGTGCCATGGGTCCTTCTTTGCCATTTCTACTCCATCTTACATTCTGATGCTGCTGTCCACATCTGGATAGATTGGCCTCTGTGGATGTTCACTGGCTCCACATGCATTAAAAAATTCCAGCAATATCCACAGCACTGCCTGGAGTTGTCTCATCAGTGATTTGTTCTTTAGAATAAAGCTGGTTGCACTTTCCACATAAAGTGGGTGTAGATCAAATACTATGCAAACTTTGGTCTTTAACACAAAATCAGAGTGCCATCAGTTTTACTTCCAGTTCACCAAGGAAATTTGAGGCGCTTCAGTCAAACCAAGCAGGACTAAATACTTTCTGACTCCCTATTTCGCTTGGTTTCATTTCTTGCCTTTCTGTACTACCCAGTAGCTGGAGATCCTTGGGTGGTTTAAAGAGATTTAAACCTTAAAATATGGTATAAAAGCTACATACATATCAAGATAAAACACAGAGGGGTACACACATATATCTGAAAGGGATTTTAAACAACCGACACCAACAAAACTCAAGACCTGATACAGAACCTCATCATATACTGCTAGACATCTGAGAAAAGAAGGTCTTAGCCTGGCAGCAAAAATATAACCATGTTGATGATTGGTGAGTTTTGTTGGGAAAATCATCCCATAATTGTGAGACCAGCACCAAGAAGGCTTCCCTCGTTGTCACCTACTAAAGTCTCCTTCAAAAGAGGCTTTATAAGAGTCCATGCATCTATAGGCTCTCTTTCTCTCTCTGTCTCTCATACCCCTCATGTGCATGCATTCCCACACCCTCAGTCTATACTGGTGCCTGGTTTTCTCCATTCTTGTAACATTTGCAGGGTACCCAAAGGATTGGACATCAGTTTTCAGCCCGTCTAATCTCAGCAGTTTGGCCTTTTGTCCCATCCCAGGATTTTCCAATTTGGGCAGAGGGTAGCTCAGGATTTGTGGTAGATGAGCAAGGTTTCTGATTCCCAGTGTCTTAACAATGGCAACAACAGAAAACCTTCCCCTCGCCCCATACATTAGGATGCTGAAAAAGAATGAAGTGCATTTTGGTGTAACAGTTGGTGTAAGTTGTGTTGTGATCACAAATTGCTGGGCTGAACATAGGCCCGGAGGTGCCCTGTTACCTAATTCTTAGTGTGTGTCTGCTTGCCTGCCGGAACTTCTGTTTTATACCTGGCTCTCTTTGGTGGATATCAGAGTTCTAGAGATACGCATGTATTCTGCAGACCAGAAGTCTGACCATCCTCTGCACAGTTGATCAGGACTGTCGTGGACTGAAAGCAGCTGCAGGGCAAAATTTCTCTGGCTAATCCTCATTACGTCTCAAGGGCAATGGCATCTCCTTTCTCTTCAATTTTCTTGATAGGATGGAAGCATTGTGCACTTCCTAGCAAAATGTGGAAATCTTAGTGCGATAGGAATGCCTAAAAAGTGAGCACTCACAATGTCAGGCTAATAGAACATGCTGTTTGAAAATGGGGGAGAGATGAGAGGCTATTCAGTGTATCAAGTGAACACATTCTTCTTCCTAGTACACACAGCTTAGGCTCCAGTCTTATGGAAGCAAGTTCCATGGAAACGAGTGGGAGTCGCTTTGGAATAACACAGAAGGAGCTTTGGGTAGGGTGGATCTTCCTATAGTTTTGTGATTTGTGAGAGTACTGCTCCTCCAGCGTAGGACCAGTAAACCAAGCCTGAATCCAGCTGGGATGTGGACAACCCGTGTCATCTTTGGTGTCTGCATTGCGTATTGGCCAATGGCTCTCACAACCAGTACTTGATAAATGTCTGCATGTTACAGGATAATTTGAATATAATAGCTTCAGTGCTTTGTGCTTGCTGCTGCGTGGCTTGTATCTTTGTCTTGGTAAAATTGTCCTGTGATGGATGCAGTTTTTCATCTTTAACTTGAAATAGGATTTCACCTTGCTCTGCAACCAGTTATAGCAATTATGATGTCTTTTTACTGTCTCAGGCTGCAGTCCTGTATCTACTTAACTAGGAGTAAGACTAGTTTAATTTACTGGGATTTACTTATGAGTAGATATCCCTAGATTGTCCTTGTATATGCTTTGTTCATTGTTCTTTTCTGACACTATCATTCTAGCATTGCCTGTGTTAAGCTGAAAAGTTATTTTTTCTTAATCCAAGGCCCAAGCCATATCTGTTCAAAGGCGATCATAAATTTCCCACGCTCAATGAAACTGTCCCAGTAGTGATCCTTTATGCTGAAATGGGTACAAAAGACTTCGCCACATTTCATGAAGTTTTGTCTGAAAAAGCACGAAAGGAGGAGATAGTTTACATTCTCCGACATTTTGTCCAGGTAGGTACACATGGAAGTGAAATAACTAAACTCTAATTTAAATAAAGGGTCTTTTCCCCCATTTCCCAATATGCCTCAGTTGTTTGTATTCAAAGCATATTGACCATGTTTTACCAGAAACAGAGGACCAGAGTAGAAGGATCACATGACCCCCCCCCCCCGGCAGTAAATCAATCCGCCAAGAAATTGTTTTATACATTTATTCAGTACGTGGAAGGGTTTTGTATGTATTACCCTTACATGTGCTTCCTGGTTAACCATTGTGAATACTAATCAGGATCGCTCTTGAAACCAGAGTTTGAAACCAGGATTTAAAGTGAGCTTGCAAATCCTGCTTTTGAAGGGATCTGATTAGCATTTGCCATGTTCAGTCTAATGCATGTGTAACACTACACCATGATGAGAAGAAACCATGAAAGAAAGGGGCAGTTTCTGAAGTGAGGGAAGTGTGCTGCTCTCTAATATGCCTCTAATTCTGACCGATGGGTAGAGAATTCCAGACATTACATCCATTCTAGGCTGATCTCTGTGGAGAAATGGGAGATTTTTTGCTGCCTGTTACCAAAATAAACTGAGTTAAATTTAGACATCCAGAATTGTTTATAGACCTTACATGGTATCAGACTTATAGCCAGAAATATTGTGTTGATATGGAAGTTAAATACATACCTCTGGGTACAAGATAAGTCATCTCAGAAATCTAAATACAGATGACATCATACATTTGAAGCTACTTACAGTAAATTTCATTACATTTTAAAGAAAATCTAAAAAACACTTAAACATCTACCAGTTTTGAACAGTTTATTTCTTATTTCTCAAGAATAGAGAGTTTAATTTTTCCCTGTATGGGTTGTACCCAATATTAGCCCTACTTAGAATAGACACATTGAAATGAATGGGGCTTAAGTTTGTTAGTACTGAATGCCAGCTTCCCATTGTGCTAGCATTGGGTCCCATGAGTGTGGGGAAAGAATTGCATATTTCCCTTTATCTCATTAAATAAAAGGGCTACAACCCTTTTTATAATTACATTTTAATCTTTAAAATAAGCGAAATGTTTGGTAAAGGGAACTGAGATTATGATTTTATTTTATGTATTAGAATATGTCTAAGTAGTGTTTCAGGAAAGAATGATACCTAATTTGTTAACCCAACTATGGATGCTGCCCTGTTTGTGTGCAGCCTTTCTTTCCAAAGCTTTCCATTGTTGTTACCAACTGAGCTGGCATGGAGAAGAAAAAGATAGAGGAAGGGAAGAGTATGTTCTCTTTTTGGTTCCTCCCTTCCCTTCCCTTCCCTTCCCTTCCCTTCCCTTCCCTTCCCTCACAGCCCTGCACCCCTTAATCTGCCATACATATGGCATTATCAAGGGGATGCAGGTGCCACAGTGGTTTAAACTGCTGTGCTGCTGGGCTGGTTGATCGAAAGGTCGCCAGTTTGAATCTGCACAATGGGGTGAGTTCCTCTTGCTCTGTCCCAGCTCCTGCCAGCCTTGCAGTTTTGCATGCAAATGCAAGTGGATAAAAAGGTACCACTTCGGTGGGCAGGTAACAGCGTTCCGTGCACTTCGGAGTTTAGCCAGGCCGGCCACATGACCACGGAGACTGTCTGTGGACAAACGCTGGCTCCCTTGGCTAGGAAATGGAGATGAGCACCACCCCCTAGAGTCAGGCATGACTGGACTTAATGTCAAGGGGAAACCTTTACGTTTATGGCATTATCATTTTCTGAAAAAGTGTATTACACCGCCATTTGTGGTTCACAAAAGCACTGCATAATTGATGCTAATTTTTTTGATCCTAAGATAAATGTGATATCCAAGAAATGCTATTCACATGTAATCAGTGCTTAATCAACATAAGGGCGTGTAGTATTCCAGAAAACCAGCTTCTCTTTTCCTGTTGTTAAGTAGCTGGTGATCTACGGTACAGTTCTCAGACTCTTGATACGGAGGGATATTCATACCTTTGCTCTAAATGAAAGAGAGCCATTTCTCCCAGTGACCTTCCCTAAAGCAATGGGCAAGCATTCTTGCAATTGAACAGGCAATATTCACTGGGATGGCCTGACATAACAAGCCATTGTAGGTGGTTACCCATGATGGATTGTTATGTTGTGTGAACCTGGACGGTATATATAGAAATAACCAGCTTTTAATTAATTTTCTTTAGAAGTTTTTTTCTAAGGAAAAACTAATTTTCTGTAGAGGTTTTTGCCTTGTATCATCAAGATCTCACTCTACATGCATATATTCATGTGGTTAAAAATATAAAAGATGCTCCAAGTTAATGCTAAATTAATTAGGCCCTAGCATTCATTTATGAGGGTGGGACACATGAGTGTGACGTGCGGTGCTCTTTCATCTTGTGAGTGAAGTCGCTTAGGCTGACCATGAAAATTTTCTGGGGCTGTCCCCCAGGATGGGTCAGATCTGGACTCTGCCACAATTGGAGAAGACTTACTGGAATTCACGCAAGTGTGTCATAAGTCACTGAGATCTCACTCATTTCAATGAATCTGTCCTTCATATGATGAAATATGGATCCAGTCCGAGTGTGGATAACACAGATTGATGCCTACAGTGTCCAGACATGCAAACTCAAAAGTAGTTTAATGTTTACACCTTTAAACCAATAGTCTGGGGTCTGATCTGAAGACACATAAGGCAACCACCATGTTGAAGCTAAGCAGGTCCGGGGCTGGGCTGGGCTTGGACGGGAGACCACCTGGGAACCGCATGTGGCCACCATGAGTTCCACAATGGGAAGAAAGCAATCAGAAGAAACTGATTATCTGGACCCATTTCTGTCCGGCTTCAGACCCGGGTACGGTACTGAATCTGCCTTGGTTGCCCTGTACGATGACCTGTGCAGGGAGAAGGACAGGGGGAGTGCGTCCCTGTTGGTTCTCCTGGACCTCTCAGCAGCTTTCGATACCATCGACCATGGTATCTTGGATAGGCTAGTGGGATTGGGAGTTGGAGGCTCTGCTTTGCAGTGGTTCCGCTCCTATCTCAGTGGCCAATTCCAGAAGGTGGTGCTGGGGGACTATGACCCTGCGCCATGGCAGTTATGCCATGGAGTTCCGCAGGGGTCCATTTTGTCCCCCTTGCTATTTAACATCTACATGAAACCGCTGGGAGAGGTCATCAAGAGGTGTGGGCTGCGGAATCATCAGTACGCTGATGATACCCAGCTCTACCTCTCGTTTTCAACCAATCCAGGTGAGGCAGTGGCTGTGCTGAACTGGTGCCTGGCCGAGGTAATGGGCTGGATGAGGGCCAATAAACTGAAGCTCAATCCAGACAAGACGGAAGTCCTGTTGGTGGGTGGTTCGGGCTTTGGGGTGGGGGACTTGGGCCTTGTCCTAAAAGGAGTTGCACTCCCTCTGAGGGACAGGGTTCTCAGCTTAGGAGTGCTCCTCGACCCTGAGCTGTCTCTAGAAGCTCAGGTGACGGCGGTGGCGAGGAGCACCTTCAGTTTCGGCTGATCCATCAGCTGCATCCCTATCTGGAGAACGACTGCCTGGCAACATTGACCCACGCGTTGGTAACTTCCCGACTAGATTTCTATAACGCGCTCTACGTGGGGCTACCCTTGAAGATGGTCCGGATACTTCAATTGGTGCAAAATAGAGCTGCCAGGTTGCTGACGGGGACTGGGCGTTGTTCTCATATAACTCCAGTTCTCCGTCAGCTTCACTGGCTCCCTATTGAAGTCCGGGCCCAATTCAAGGTGTTGGTTATGACCTATAAAGCCCTCAACAGCTTGGGCCCTGGATATCTAAAGGAACGTCTGCGTCCATATATGCCCGCCTGCCCCCTTCTCCAGAAACCCTCCGTGTAGGATATTAGGAGGGTGAGTACCCGAAGGAGGGCCTTTTCTGCAGTGGCACCCCATCTATGGAATGCGCTCCCCAGAAAGGTCCGCCTGGCGCCGTCATTATTTGCTTTTCGGCACCAGGCGAAGACCTTTTTATTTAAAAGTTATTTTAACTGTTTATTATTATTGTATTTATAGATTTTAATATATATAGCTGAGATGGTCCCAGTTTTTAAATTATTGATTGCATTTTTATGTTTATTTTGGATGTTGTGAGCCGCCCCGAGGCTTTGTTGCAATGGGGGTGGCATAGAAATGTTTTAAATAAATAAATAAATAAATAAATAAATAAATTAAAGCGGGGTATAATAATTAAATAATAAATAGGAATAGAGGATACTAATTTAGACAGTGGCTACTTGTGGTTGGGAACAGAATAATCAGTACAAAAGTTTTGTTCTAATTAAATGTTGACTACAGTTTAGGTTTCACTTATGAAGTCCTTGTCTTACGCATGTTTACTCAGGGCTCCAGCTGATTGTTATGAAACTCCCTCTGAAGTAAACCTAATTTTAGATGTTATTAAGAAATGGGTGGCTCTTAACACTCCTGTTTTACTTTCTTTTCAAAATTATGTGTTCAACCAGAAACCCATCTCCAAGAAGATGTATTTGTCTGGATATGGTGTGGAACTTGCAATAAAGAGTACAGAGTACAAAGCGGTGGATGACTTTCAGGCAGAAGGTACATTTTTCTCCTGTGTGTAGCGTTGCTGTAGACATTATTATCACAAAATATTTGGCAGTGTCTAGAATTTTGAAGGCAGTAATCTTCTGCATAGCCCCAGTGAAGTTAATGGAAAATGTCTTATTGGGTCAGTAATTCACCCATTATTTGTTTTCCTGACACACACCATTGGTTGTGATTGCATTTTGTGGGATATGGCAAAAGTAGCCACGGGCATTGAGAATCAATACAGAAATATACATCTGTAATTTTTTGTAGGTGGGAGCCTTTACTGAATGGAAAATACCTATTTACTAGCTCTACAGCAAACATGATCTTCCTCCTCTGTCATCTATTTGAGGGCTTGTCTAATTTCTTTTTTCTCATTTTAGGAAATATGTTAGGTTCTTTGATAGAAAAATTTGTCATTGTAATAACTTCTACAGAGTGAACATATTGTCATATTTTGTTCATATGCCATGTTTAGCTAAAAGAAATACAACGGAGGAAGATGTTGATGAGGAAAGTGAGGTCCAAGGATTTCTCTTTGACACATTAAAGTGAGTTGATAATTATAATTTCATACTTACATGGATTGCTTTATAAATTTGCATTTAATGCCTAGAAGAAATCTACTGCAAAATCAGCTTATGAATAGTTACACATGCCTTAAGCTATATAATAAATTTATGGAAATGTTAGTTTTGACAAGTACTGTTTTAAGATTAGGTTTCTGTTGCAGAATGGTTGCAAACAGAATTTCTTCCTGTGTAAATTTTAGAAGTGACCTTTAAAAAAGCAGTGGGGTAGGGGGCATTTTGTTTGGGCTATTTCTAAGTAACTCTGTGACTGGTTGTTTTCAGAAGGCTCTTTTATTTTCAGTGAGAGGACTGTGTGTTTTGTTACTCCCAGCTTCTATCTCTCATTTTTGGTAACTGGGTTTATTTCTATATGAAACTTCATTAAAACCAAATTACAGGAACCAATATTTATGTAGATTATAACCATTATTATTTATTATATTTATATCCCACTGTTGCTCCTTTCAAGGAACTCAAAGTAGCATACATAATTCTCTTCCCCTCCATTTTATCCTCACAACAACCTGTGAGGTAGGTTAGTCAGAGAGTCAGTGACTGGCCCAAAGTCACTCAGTGGGGACTAGAACCCGGCTTTCCCAGGTCCCAGTACAACACTGATCTCTGCACTACTCTGTCTCTTAGTATATCATGGAGGGCAGCTACTTTTGGTCTCTGGTGAGATTTACCCCTCTTGGACCAAGTTCATGGGCTGGATGATATGAGGCGATAAGCAGCTCACACCAGAAGTCCAGTCTCCGCCACAGTATCATCTCTCTCTCCATCTGTGTTAATTCTCTGCAAAGAGAGAAGCATGAAGTTGGATGCCTCTCTCTGCACAGCCAAGGAACTTGCAGGAGCTGGATCATATCGCTTCTTCCCGTGCTGCTTGTACCCCGGGACCCAAGCATCTCAGGAAGCAATAGAGGGGGGTCCCTACCATACCACCTCCTCTGATTAGAGATAGCCAAGGGGATCTCATTTGCACCACTCACCCTCCGGGGATGTACCACTTGCAGAGGCTTGGAGGGGGCAACCTTTGGTATCTGTGGAGTGTGCGCCACCCTCTATGGACCCCAGTGGAGGCCAGAAGTTCTCAGCTGGTCCGTATTGTGTCCAGCCAGCTGAGAGTCACACAGGCTCCAGTCTGGCTCCTGGTGGCTCTGATCGAGTGTGGTGTAAAGATGTGAGCTCACTGAGTTCGTAGGCTCTTTATTGCGATGACTTCTCTTGTATGTTGTGTAAAGGCGAACACTGCTACTAACTGTCTTCTTCAAGCGATTTTTGAGGGAGAACTTGCATTTCTCCTTGCCCCTCTTTCCTCCAAATTGATGCCCCCCCCCCATTAATGTGTTTCTGATTTTGTGGAGGCCACGGTGCCAAGAGCGCTTTAAAGAATGACTAGATTTCCAGGCAAGGATTTGATGGCGTGCTTGTTCCCTATGTTGACACCATTTCGAAAGAAATATTCGAGACTTTCTGCTCTCCTGTAGTGAAATAGAGGGTGCACACCAACACAATCAAAAGAGATGAATAAAACTAATGAGTAAATATACTGGGATTAACCCCCCAAAGTAGGCTGAAAATGTTCTAGCATCTCAAGTTTGGTCATTCCTCGGGGAGGGGATCAAGCAACATCTGAACACCCCCAGCAGGTCCTCTCTGGTTTGTCTTTGTATGGGTTGGGCCCTCAAGATGCGGCACTGTGATGGCTAATTTCTGTGGGGGATTTCTTCCGCTCTCCCACCTGGTGGATGCTGCAACCAGTCCCAGCATCACAGGGCAATCCTAACCACATCTCCCGAAGGCTGGCTAAGGGAGTCAGGAACGAACAGAGGAGTAACCTGCTGCCCCAGAATTTCCTTGGAAAGCCCTGTAGGCGAAGGAGCCGAACTGATGGTCTTCCTGCTGGAAGCTGCGACTACATCAAAGCGTTCTAGAGGAGGGTTGGAGGTGGCCTTGGGGTCTTTGGGGCCCTCCGACCCCTCACTCGCCCACTGTGCATGTGCCCAGAGCAAGTCATGTTTTTCCACCTCTGAGAACTTGCCCAGCGGTAAAGCACATGCTTTTCATTCAGGTAAAATGCGCCAGGTAAAATGGAATACCCTCCTTCCTGAAATCCTGAAGAGGCCACACTGCTGGGCTAGATGGACCAGTGTTCTGAAGCTGTACTAAGCAGCTTTTTTATTTATTAGATTTATATCACACTCTTTTGCCTTTCAAGGACCTCAAGGCAGCTTATATGACTCTTTCCCTCCTCCCAGTCTTACTCTCATACCAACAATCTAGGGAAGTGGGTTGGGTTGAGAGCCTGAGACTGGCCCAAAGTCACCCAGTGAGCTCCGTGGCTGAGCGGAGCCATCAAGAGCCCAGATCACTTGAGTCCCAGTCCCATGCTCTTACCACTACACCATGCTGCCTTCCAGCGTCCCTGCCACTGAAATCCAATGGCAGAGAGGTTAATGGGGGAAAAACTCTGCAGCACCTCTAGCTGTGGCTGGAGTGAGTCAGGTGGTCGTTTGAATTAATCGACCCACCACTGACCTTGCCTTGGCTCAGCCCTCTTCATCCTGTTTAGGACCGTTCTGAAAAAAACAAACACTAAGGCAAGGATCCTCAAAGGCCTACAACAGGTTTAACAGCCTGATACCCTGAGTACAGACATTTTGGGTAATGAGTCATCCACCGCCACCTTTCGTAGTTTCCTCTGATCATAGTGATTAATAAAGTAATTATAAATGTAATCTGTGTCAACATGTGTATTGCTTTAATCATATATGTTGGCATAGTTGATAATGATGGTCAATGGTAGCCACTAACCAGCATTTGTAACTTGCTTCAAGCCCTCATTTCAGGCTTTATTTATGAGGGACAGTCGCTCAAAATGTATTTCATCATCTGTTGAATTATAACATCCTCCAAGTGCTATATAATGTTATTTTTTTTATAACCTAGGCAGAACTATCCAGACCTCAGGGACAATCTGACAGAGCTGAGAAAATACCTCATTGAAAGTTCTGATGATACAGAGCCTTTGAAGGTGTGGGAATTACAAGGTATTAACTCCTGTAGTGATGGTTAATCTTAGTATAATAAAATGGAACTATGCACCAATGAGGGCACTGCCATCCCAAGCTCCCAGCCTCCAGCTGTCAAACCTCAGCCTGCCCTTTTCGTTTTTTCCTTACTGGTGGCAGAAAGTCCACTAATGTGACTCAAGTAGCTGAGACAAGTGGGAGAAGTCTCCCCTGAGGTTTGTGAGAAACTCATTCCTAAACCACTGGTCCAAACTGATGCATCAACATTTATTAAGGAATCAGAGAACAGGGGAACATGACCAGGTCCTTGGAAAATAGAGTAAACGGTACAGACATTGCTAACCTCCTCAAAGCGCTTTAGAGGAAGGTATTCACAACACACAGGGAGTGTGTGTTCAATGCACAGCATCCTTGACAAGTCAGGGAGGTGCTAAGATGGCCCAGAGCCCAGTTCCTTTTATTCTGATTTGTCAGAGAGTGAAAGAGTGACCACCTAACCGATTGCAACAGTTGTACCGGGAGAAATCCCTCTTAACCAGCTTTTGCCTAGGATGTCCTAATGCGCAGATTTAAAAGTAAGGGACTTATTAAACAGGATCCTACTCTGGCTTCCTCTGATGTGGAACAGAGAAATGTGCAGTAGAGCATGCGGCGCCATAGCCGCCGTCTGGCAGTTTTCGCAAAGTGATGGACGCTGGGTTAACAGGTCTGCGCCACAACCAGATTCAAAACATGTTGTTCCGGCCTCACTTGAGAGGGTAGAACACCAAGGAGCACGTTCTTCCCCTTCTGTGAATCAATCTTAAACAAAACGATTTTACGTTGTATTGATGAACTGCAGCATCAAATGGAAAAAATGCACATAAAGCTCTTCAGAGAGGAGGAGGGAGGAAGGAAAGACATTGAATCTTCCTTTCCTGATGACCTGCAGAAGGCGATTCCGTGGCTGAACACACTGTAGTATAATTTGTCTTTACTAATTCTATTAATATGGCACAGGAGTAGGCCATGAAGTGTTATCATTGTAAGATAAAAACCATAATACTACTTTAAAAGCTATTTTGTCACATATACAATATGTTGAGTATGCGGGAAATTGACCATGAAGTTGCAGAAGATTAGGCTTTTTCTCATAATACCATGAAGGTTGCAAGATACGATGCCTTTCTCCCTTTCAGCATTGTTTGTAGCTGTTTCTGATATTCTTTTGTATTACAAATGGGAGGGTATTTTTGAAATGGAAATAAGAAAGCACATTTATTAAAGAAGCTCCAACTTGTTGGCCTCAATCGAAAAGTCAAATCAGGGTTATCTGTGAATCAAGCTGTAATCCTACACACACTTACCTGGGTGTATGTCCCACTTAGCCGTGTGGGACTTAACTTCTGAATGGGCACGGGCAGAATTGAGCTGTCAGTTAAGTTCTGTTCCTGCTGGTGGAAATATATGTACCCACTTAGATGTACATCCCTTTGGGTTCAGTGGAGAGTATGCCCAGGTCAGTGGGTGGAAGACTGAAGTTTTGGTCATTTTTAAGTTTCGCTGGAGAGAGTGGAATACTTCGATAGGTGGCAAGAAATGCGTCTAGGGGTTAAATCAATTATATAATTATTTATAGTTGCATTTCTGTCCTATACAAATTTATCCTATTTAACTTTTTGACTATTTTGACAGTTTTAAAGATGCTGGCTCTTCAAGATTTACTACTGACAATCCAGACAGCATAGCTGAGGAATCAAGGGTCTTCATTTCTCTCCTTAAATTCTGCCAGACTATGGTTTATGTGGGCAATTTGTTGTTGTTGTTAGTCGCAAAATCGTGTCCGACCCATTGCGACCCCATGGACAACATTTCTCCAGGCCTTCCTGTCCTCCACCATCCCCCGGAGTCCACTTAGGCTCACTCTGACTGCTTCAGTGACTCCATCCAGCCACCTCATCCTCTGCCGTCCCCTTCTCCTTTTGCCGTCAATTGTTCCCAGCATTAGGCTCTTCTCCAGGGAGTCCTTCCTTCTCATTAGGTGGCCAAAGTATTTGAGTTTCATCTTCACTATCTGGCCTTCTAAAGAGCAGTCAGGGTTGATCTCCTCTAGGACTGACCGGTTTGATCGCCTTGCGGTCCAAGGGACTTGCAGGAGTCTCCTCCAGCACCACAATTCAATAGGTGGGCATTAATCTTAATCCCAAGCAGGGATTAAGGGTTGTGAATCAAGCTTTGTGGTTCTCAGTGATGCTTTATTTTCTTACAGATCTTAGCTTTCAGGCAGCATCTCGAATTCTCTCTGTCCCTGTTTACAGTGCAGTAAAGGTCATGAAAGACATCGCACAAAACTTCCCAGTAAAAGCCAGGTATGAGGACGCTACTGAGCTCTGGTGCACTCATGCGACGGTATGGCTTTTGTGACGGTTTATTTTTATTTAATTTTATCCCATCTTTCCTCCAAGGAAGTCAGGCAGGTGTACATCACAGCATCCTTGTGAGACGAGTTAATCTCAGAGAAGCTGATGAGCTCTGGTTTACCCAGCAAGGTCCTCGAGTGAGGAACGTCTGAACCGCAGCTTTCTCAGTCCAGGTGTAGCTCCCTCTCTACCAAACCTCAGAGGACAAGCCTTTCGGCAATAATTTAGACCATGGTTTACCTCTTGTATCTGCCTGAGCTATTTGTGGCCTTCATATCAGCACCCTGTGCCTACGTGGGATCCTCCTGGACTCCATGCTAGCTGGGCAGTCCAGACAGCTGCAGTGTCCTGGAGTGAGTTTTACCGGCTTAGGCTGGCGTGCTGGCTGTGTCTCTACCAGGAGAGGACAGACCCGGCCTTGGTTATCCATGCGCTAGTGATGTTCAGGCTGGACTACTGTAATGGGCTACATATGAGGCTGCCTTAGGGACTTCACCTGGTGCAGAATGCAACCACCCAAGTACTGGTGGAAGCAACATGATCAGGCCATGCAACCGGTATACCACGGCAGCTTCAGTAGTTGGACTAGGCCTTCCTTGGCAATTTAAAGGGCTCCTTTAATCATTCAAGCCTTAAATACAAGGCTTTACATTCAGGCTTTGGGACCAACTTACCTGAAGGACCACCTTCATCAATGGCAGCCTGCCCGCAAGAGAGGCACTTCTGATTTGTCCACCTGAGAGGGCATTTAGATGAGCAACTTCTTGGGAATGGCCTTTTCTGCAGTGGTACCTCACCTCTGGAGTACGTTGTCATTGAGGGTCCGCCAGGCCACATCATTGCAGGCTGTTAAGAAGGCGCTGAAAACTTACTGCTTTACTCTGGTCTTTGCAGGATTATGTTTAATTGGATTGGGCTATAATTGCAGTTGTACACTCTGGGCCTCTGTTTTTATGCTAGTGTTTGTTGCTTTCCCTGTTTTTATCAGGGTTTTTAGTGAGGTTTATTCTTATACACTGCTTAAGGAGGGCTTCTGCTCTGAAAGGCAGGCAAGGCATGTTTTAATAAATACACATGTAAATAACAATAACAAAAATAACAGACATCTGTAAAGTTTCCCTGACTGGTTGCGTCCTTGCATCTTATCACAGGTGACCAGACAAGTGAGTTTTAAAAACCCTGATTGGGAGCTGGCAAAACTGAACAGACAAAAAGAATCCAGAATGCAGACAGAAACATCAAATGGCCCATTGGGTGCAAGCTGTCCAGTTAGGGTCCTTTCCCCATGATCATGCACACTGTAGTCACAGGCTGATGGTTGTCACCTCTTGGTACCAAGAGATGACCCATAACGGCACATGAGCTACTTCATAAATGCTCCTACCACTGGTATCGTGCTGTGAAATGTCCTGTATTACCAAGCATTATCATTATCGTGACTGAACTTTTCAGTAGCCCTTGGCGCATTAGAGCGTGTCTTACCGTTCTTATCCCATTTACCTTCACAACATCTCTGTGAACTACCTTCTCAACAAAAGCCAAATGTCCTGTCCTACTGTTTTGACCAAAAAGCAAAACAAAAAAGCTGGTGATGGCTACAAAATGCCCTGCCTCGAATTCCAAATATCTTTCAGTGCTTATTTGCTATTACAAGGCATCCTTTGCTGCAGTTTTTGAACTATTGTGACAAATTTGGACATGAATAAGGCAGTGATGAGAGTCCCTGCTGACTTTATAGATGACCAGTAATTTGCTTCCAGGAGCCACTGTGAAGTATCATTATGATAGTTTGCAAACATATCAAAGTCCTTGAGATATTACAGAACAGATACGGTGTCTCTGTTGGGAGTACAGGAAGCTATCTTTCCTGTAATATGAGAAATGGCCCTAGGGGTGATACGGCATTCTAAATGATGCCGGCTGCCTTCCATTCATGTAAGTCCAGTAGAAAGATTTTCTCCATGTTGTATCTTGAGCATACAGAACAACAACTCAGTGAAACAGATGATAAAAATCCTCGCCCTGTACAAGTATTTAAAATAAACAACTGTGCTGCATTTTAAAAAATTAAATGAAGGAAGCCATTGATATTATCAGTAAATCTGATATTAGAATCTCCCAGTTTGCCAACCAGATAAATTGGTTGATCTAGGCCAGCCTGTGGACTACAGAAGAACAATTATGACTATTATGTGGCTTTAAAAATGTTGCCCATGGTTGCACTCCACAGGAAAAAGACATAAGATTCCATGAACTGATGCAATGCCTTTCTTTGGGAATGTGTATGTGAAGTACCACTGGAGAGCTTCTCAAAGGCACCATGAGACGCTTGTTCATTCACATGTTACTTTCCACATCTTGGAAAGACAAAGGATCTTTGCCAATCTTCCTCTTAGGTGATGGTTTTGGGAAGCACACACTTTGCTCATCTTTCCAGCTGATAAATCCCCCATCAGGTCAGAGGACATGTGCTCCAAGCACTCTGTTTGCAGTATGTTAATTCTCGTTTATTTTGAGCTGTCATGGAGGCCTTTCGTCAGGCAAAAAGTAGGTCATAAATATATTAAATAATATCCATAAAACTCTTACTGCTTGATACCACCAGTTTTATTCTAGAGCCTGACCACATGAGGAAGTGGGATTGGAAAATACAATATACTTCTAGTTCCCAGATCTCTATCTGGAGGATGGAGAACCATCTGAGAAAAACTCTGGTATAGGTTGAATCTGCCTTCCTTAAGCTGGTGCTCCCAGATGTATTGGCCTGCAGCTTTAAGGTGTCAGGTTAAGAAAAACTGGAGTAAATGTTTACAGTTTTCTGATAGGCTATTCATGATAAAACTGTCAGATTCCTGTACTTTCATCTAAAGAATTGGGACTGGTTTGGATATAGCATTGAGCTATTCTGTGAGTCTGAACAAATGGATGGTTTATGTGCTCCTCTTCCCCTCTCTTTCTTATGCCAAATTGCAGTTTAACCTGTGCTTGCTTGCTTGCTTGCTTGCTTGTTTGTTTGTTTAAACTATGGTTTATTGAAATATGCCAAGATGAAATCATGGTTTTGGAGCCTAGCTTGTTGCACTAAACCATACTTTAAACTAGCCACACTTTTTTGTTTGATTATAATGACATACTAGTTAGTTGCTGTGCCACAAGAGGCTTGGGGAAGGAAACATGTGAGCCCAAAGCTCAGCTGGCTTGTCTATATAGTGCCAAATTATGACTTAGCATTGTGCCTACACTAGGCTATGGAGTATTTTATTCCATCAAAAAAAGATTAAATGGTTTGGGAAGAGAAATGTTCAAATAGAACAATTACTTAGCCATGTCTGAATTGAATCTTTTTTCAGATCCCTAACCAAAGTGCTAGTAAACCAACAAATGCGAAAAGAAATAGAAGACAATCAAAAGGTTGGTTCATGTTATTTTTTGTATGCAAAATAAAATGGTTTGTTTTGCTTTATTGGGAGATGTATGTTACTATGGAGCTTTAAAAAATATATCCAAAAGAATTTAAAAATACTCATTTCCCCCCTCCCAAATGTAGACTTGCTGGTCAGCTGCAGTCTTCTCATCGTATCTTTTCCTCAAAGAAAAATGTATAGCTTGGCTTGTTTGCCAAGCTGCTGAACATCTCTAGTTCCAGCTGACGTAATTGTTGAAGATCAGGCTGTGAATGTGCCAATGATGCCTTCGGGGGTTGTGCTTTGGCTCAGAACTAAGTGGCTTTAATTGACCTCTGGAGCAGAACGTAAATTGGTTCAAGGCGCTAATGCTGACACGCGGGGTGATCTACACATTTTTCTGTTGAGAAGATGTGAAGGTTAAACGTTTGAGGTTTTGGACCCACTGCTTGAGTCTTTTGAGATCTGTCATTAGTGTATGTTTTAGCTGTGCTTCAACTTATAAGCCATTAATTCGTGTTAATGCCTGTTCTTCCATATCAAAAGCCTATTGCAGACCTGCTGCCTTTCCCATTCTGAATACTTTTGAAGGATACTCAGTATGTGTAAGGGCTTCATATAGAGCTCGTTTTTTTATATATGTATCTAGGGAATAAAACATCCATGCCACCATTTCTTCTCTTTTCCTCTTATATATAAAATATCTTTGACTTGCCACTGAAGAAGGTATAGCTATGTCAGATGGCTACACTCAACCTGTGGATGTCAAGGGGGTGATGCCAGTGGTGAACACAAGATTGGAGTGAGACCATTGGAAGTTTCTTGGTGCATTATCGTGCAGTTGTGGGAATCCCGTATCCATTTCGATATACTTGTTAGTGAGGACCACGCTGCTATGTGCAGGCATCTTGTTTGTCTGCCCTTAATGGCACTCAGGTCTACAACTGGAGGGGGTTGCATTTCCTTGCCCCTCACCAAAATCCTGCTAGCTCTGCATGTTATTTTCTCTGTATCTCTGCAAGAAGTATGGTGTTAAACATCAAAGATGGGGACAATCAGATGGCACACTAAACTGTGGTTTTGCACGGCATGAATGAGCAGCCCTGTGGGTACCATTCTGCTCGCTTGCACACAGCAATTAGGAACTTCCAGTCTTGATTAGCAGCAAACCCTAGTTCTCTGATGTAACAGCCTGTTGCTAAACAAAAATGAAAAATGTCTAATCATCTTGTCACCTTTTTCTCCCTTTACCTCTAGAGGTTTGAGCAGGAGGCTTGCTCATTCTCATCATATAGCTTTTATGTCTGAATGCCCCCAAAGAACCTTGTGGCGTCTTGAAGGCTAACAGATTTATTGTGGAGCAGGGATTCATGGGCTAGAACCCCCTTCATCAGTTCATTATGTCACAATAAATCTGAGAAGTCTGTAAGGTACCACAACAAAACTCTTTGTCATGTTGCCTGGGAAGGGCTACCATGACTATCTCTCCATTTCTTTTGACAGCAATTGCTCATTTGGATTTAGGAATTCTGATTGCAGAGTAGCAACCCTTTCAGTTTCCTGTAACCCGTGGAATGTCTCATGCTGAGTCGAATCTCTGCTATGCTTTTGCAGTTCTTGATTCACTTGGTTTTATAGAATGCTCTTTCAGGTTTAACTGTACATCTTAGAATGGACATAACTCATCATAGGAAAGAAGTATTCAGTTAAGGGTGCAATTCTGCAATCAGTTATAGAGGGAAGTCCGACTGAATTCAGCGGGGCTTATTGTTTCTGAGTAAAGATGCTTAGCATCATGATGCTTCAAAGCAGGACTGAACTTCATGCGCATGGGAATCTCTATTAAATAGCTCACTGTTTTTCATGCATTCCTGACACTTGTGCATCCATGGTTGGTCTAAAACAATTGCTCTTTTTTTTAAAGCCCCGGAGCTATTTCTTTCTTTGAGCCATTTGATCTTTTTAATAGGCATCTTTTAGTGAATTCCTATTTAAGTTTTCTTTTTTTTCTGCCCTTGCTGCAGATTACTCATTTTTATTAGACTGCAGCAGCTGCACAAATGCACTGTAAAATGGCATCAAGTGTGGGTAGTTAAATAGCTCTTAAAATAGACCTAGATGCATTTCAATGTCAGTTGCTCTCTTTTGGAAAATTCTGTTAGCTAACAGAAGAACTTGGAGCCTTTCTCAGCAGTGTCACATCCAAGCAAATACCCAGTAACAATTTCTTTCCAAAAATCCAAATGGGTACACTGGTAGGAATGTGAGTGTGTGTCCATGCAAGGGGATTAAATCATAACTTTGAAGAGAAGTGCTGGAACAACCTGTCAGTTCTTTCAAGTCCAGATAATGAAATTTGTGATACATTTGTGTGTAAATTAAACCTTGCCTTGTATGGTTCATTGTCTCGGAGGACCACATGAAAAGCTAGTTTGGGCGCACACAAACGATATGGTTAAAGAAGCAATCTCTGTTTTGTGTGTACTTGAATACAAATTTGGCAGCTATTCAGACACCAGTGGTACAGTAGAATAAATTGTCAGGCACAGTTTTGAGCTATAGGATATTCATCTAGCAGCAGGAGAGGGATGATTTCAAGCTGTGCAGAACTGAAAGATTCTCCTGTAAGATAATGAAACTTGAATAAAAAATGCAGTACGGGGAAGAGGCTAAAGGCTATTAAGGAATGAAACGCATATGGTGATTGGGTCCAGTCAGAATAGCGTTCAGCAGTAAGTTGCTGCGTTACGGCAGGTTGTAGGTGTTCGAGCCTAAGTCCTGGCAACAGTGAAAGACCAGTCTCAGGATATACGAAGCGCATTATTGCCTTTGATCTCGGGTGCCCCAGCTGTGCTTTGCGGGGCACTCCATACCATGTCAGCCATTTCACAGATGGAAATGGACAAAGAAGGGGAAGTGCCCAGGGCCTTCCTTGTCTTCAAAGGAGAGCTGGGACTGCGAGCAGAACAGCGAGATCCAGTTTCACAAACTGCCACTGTGCATGCTTCTTGGAGGCAAATAAGTTCTTTCTTTCTTCTCGGAGGCAAATAAGTTCTTTCTTTCTTCTCGGAGGCAAATAAGTTCGTTCTTTCTTCTCGGAGGCAAATAAGTTCTTTCTTTCTTCTCGGAGGCAAATAAGTTCTTTCTTGGGCAGAACTTTGGGTTGTTCACTGGGCTGCTCCTGGAGGAGTTTTGAGCAGGTTGGGCACTACCACCTCATCGTTTCATTTCTAATTTATTTGTTCTAATCTGTTTTGATTAAGATTTTGTTTTCAAAAGTCTTTGAGCACCATTTTCTTTGGAACGGTGGGATATGAATTGCACGTATAATAAATATTCATGTATTTATTACCTTACATCCTTTCCATACATTACCCAAAGCTGCTAGCTACAATAATACCCCTATAATAATTATTGAGTAGTATAATAAAAGTGAGTGATAGTTTTTAAAGACAGTGTGCTTTTTGAAAAAACAAGAGGAAATCTTATCAAAGGCAGCCATGTAGGATGATCGGGTCTATGTAGCCTTTCAGTCCAAAGAGCAAGTTAATTGAAGATGGAAATGTGCTACTCAGATTTTGTCACTGTGAGGGAAAGTGTACTGGTTGCAACAGTAAACAGATCACACAGCTAACACACTTTATGTATACCAGTGGTGAATCTAGTCTGTTGGGCTGTGATAGCAAGTTCATTACTGGGAAATTAAGAGAGGTTATTTTTAATGACATTTTGACCCTCTTGCAGGGCTTCCGAGTAAAGGAGACTGGTCAGAATTACATAATGAATAATCCCATCATGGCAAGAAATGATACAGCACATCATGGAATTGGGTGTTCAGAAGCCATTACTGGGCGGTTCTGAGCCCAGCGCCCTTTAGATATGTTGGACTACAGCTCCCATTATCCCAAGCAGGCTCTGCCATGTGGGCTGGAGAGTTGTGAGAGTTGCCAGAGGGTTCCAGGTTGGGGAAGGTTGGTTTGAAGGAACAAAATCTTAGAACCAGCCGCCCCCCGAGCCTCCCACCACCTTCTTTACAACAGAGAATGCCGTGGTTGTTAAAATGCAGCTCTAGCAATGAGCCCTCATCAGTGAACCGCTTCCATCTGATAGCACTGTCTATCGTTCCTTGCGTATTCTCCTTAGAATTCCACATCTGTAATTATTATTTATTGTGAGGCAATAAATGGAGCAACCTCATTCAGGGTATGTCGTGCCAGAAAGGGACCTAGGGTGCAATGAAGATAGGAGCTGGCTGGAGCCGGGGGTCAGACTAGATGGCTCGGGAGACCCCTTCTGACTTGCTCTGTTTCTATGTTTCTGAAATGGTGCCTGAATGGGGCAACAAGAGTTTTTAAAGATTAGGCCCTGCACGGGCCGGCATTTGGGCTTTGGGGCAAGCAGTCAAATATTTTGCACCCGCACTGGTTCTCTCGGATGCCTGGAGTATGTTAAACAATAAATGCTGAATAAAACTTCCAGGAGTATAACTAGTCAAAGCAATTTAAAGACTCTATTGGGTTTTTCCTTTCTGTGAGCTGTGAATATATAAAGAAGGATAAATGATGCTAATGAATAATTAGTATCACGTTTATTCTGTGGAAACAAGAAGAAATTTCTTATCCTCAAGAATAATTAGGAGATTAAGCTTGATCCACCCAGAATTAAATGTCATCTTGTTCAGAGAGTCTTGAGGTTTGAAACATATGATATTCTGAAGATTCTTTTTTAAACTGCTTTGTCTAAGTCATATTAACCTTAGCAAAAACATTTTCTAGCATCTGCATAAAACTCTTGAACTTCAGCCAGGGGAAGCACGTCTGTTTCTAAATGGCCTTCCTATAGACTTGGAATTTCATGATCCATTTAGGTAAAGTATTAATTCTTCTGCATGTTTTTGCATGTTTTCTGACTTGAAAAAAGGCCCACTATTCTGACCAAGCTGTGGTTAACTGTATCCTTGGAGTGCCAAGGGAAGCATTCATATACACCATGTAACTGCAGTAACAACAGAGCCAGAATTTGTGAAATATTCCTGCCAGGATATAGACAGGAATGCAACCCTGTGACCAGGTTCACACAGAACGGCAAGCCACCTTGTGGTAATTTCCCCAAAACTGAAAAAAAAATGAGAAATCGAGCCGCTGTGCATTGGCTTGTCGTTAGATGCAAGTCCAGCAAGCGTTGGGTTGTTCAGGTGGTCACCAAGCCCCCCAGAAACCACGGCTTGACTTTGGGAGTGGCTTGTATACCATGCCGCAACCTACCCTTGCCAGGTTCACATGCAAGAACAAGCCACAGTGTACTCACAACTTGGATTTTCAAAATAGTGGCCACCAGTGGAGCAAGAAACCTTCTGGGGAAATTCACTCACAAGGGCTTCTCAGTACACGCAAACTAGCTCCATGCCTTCCGCAGTCACCTGTCCTTCAGACCAGCTTTGGCTGCCGCATTTTTACTCCAAATAATACCGAGCCCTTTGTCTTCATAGGGTCTCTGTTTAGCGTTGTCCTAGTTCTGCTTTCCCTTTGGCGTTTTCTTTTTCAGCCCTTGCTCCGCTGTATCCTAGTTTGATAGCCTGCCTTTTAACAAACTATGCTTAAAGCCAGCATTTGCTCAGTTTGGATTTAGCAACAAATCAGGCCTAACCAAACAAACCAAAGCAACTAGCCAGGAATGGAAAGCTTAACTCTTCTCTGCTGACATGGGAGGTGGCAAAGACGTATATGAGTCTACGACTTGGCACGGCTCCTTGACCAACAAACCATGTTCTCCGACAGATGCCTTTTGCATTCCCTTTTCTCCATGCTGAGATCCCCTTCTGCTCTCAACGGATGTGACATGTATTCAGAGTCCTCTTTCTGATTATCTTTCTTTTCTTGTCTCCTTTGCCCTTTCCCTCAACCCTCCTTCTCCAACTGCTCCTTCTTCAGAGGGTGCTTTCAGGTGGGCCACTTGTGTAGTGCTTCTGTCTTTTCTTTCCTTAATGGACTTTCTGTGATAAGAGAAAAGATGGAAGAAACAGTAGGAAAACGGGAAGAGTAAGAATGAACGTCGTCTGTAACATTTCCTGCAAAATACGTATGCCTGGTCCAAGCATCCAGAGTCATCCTTCTCAGTCCTTAGGTTCCCTGTGTCCAGGGACATCTTGCAAGCCCTGTGCGTTGTGCTTTCCATTCACCCTGTGCAAGAGAGGGACAGCACAAGCTCTGGTTTGCTGAGCACTGAATACTCCATGCCACTGCACAAGCTCAGTCTGCCAGTGCTCAGTCTTTCACTATTGCAAGCACAATTCAGTATATCGTAAACAAAACATAAAGGGAAAGTTTGCAAGAAATGCCATTTAACCATTCTTTGCTTTTGTTTTCCTTTGGATTATTCTGAATGGTGTTCCTCTTAATATAATTCTGCTTCAATCTGAAGTATTTTAGACACTCTGAGGCTGGAAGGGAAAGCGATGCATGGACTTCACTCCCTTGGAATTAAGGAAGATGTTCTTAGCAAATTCATGAGACTGGCAGTCCATTCTGAGGATGAAGCTTATGCATTAGACATCCGTCACTCATCAATAGTAGTAAGTAACCATATTTATTTATTTGCTAGCATTGAAGATGTCGCAAGATTCTTTGTTTTTCCTGCAAGAGCCTTAACACAGCTATCTCTCAAAATATAGCATATTTATGTCTAGCCCTTCAGTATTCCAGAGCAATCCTAAACAGCGATGATGCTGTGAAGTTGTTTTCAAAGCCCTCCTGGCTTGTGCCAACCAGGTCAGGCAGTGGAGGGGGAGGTATTCTGTTTTGTTGCTCTGAGAAAATGGCCTTCCGCCAGTTGTTGATGAGAGCCCAGTCCTGGCACCTCTTGGAGGAACAGCTGGCTTGGGTCAGAACATCCTGTTTTGGAGCCAGCTGCTGGTGAAGCTGCCACTGGGGGTATTGGGGGTACACAACACCCCTGGAGACACGCAAGAGCGTCGCAGGGGCTGCTGGTTCATCTCCGCTCACTAGCAGAGGACAACTCTGCTCCACTGTAATCAGCTCTCGGAGTTAATGCTGTCCTTTCAAGCCTAAAAGGGTGTGGCTGGTGCTCTGAGCACCAAAACTTGGGGCAGGCTAAGCATATTAAAGCTCTGCCTGGTTTCCTAATTGTCAGTGACAGGCACCCTGTAAGTTGCTTTGCTTTTTTAAAGGTCTGTTACACTGTATTTTGTGGCAGTGTTTGTATGAACTCCTGAAGATTGTCTTGAGTTAATCCTGCAAATGGTTCTTGGCAGGCAATGAAATACCACATTTTAAAGATGTCATTTAATCGCTGCCTGTTAATGATGTGGGACGAGTGGCAGCAGCCACTTTTTATGCACTCTTATCAGTGAATATAGGACCTTTCAGAATAGCCTTTACCCCCAGATGATATATTTAATTATTTATTTGCATCTCCACCTTTCAGACTAGAATGTTACCCAAGGCAGTGTGTACGCACACACGCACATGCGTGAGCACATATGCACGTGCACACACACACAATCCATACTACAGTCATTCAGCACAAAATGCAACCCATCAATGCAGCAGTAAAAGAAGGTTCTTCGTCGTGGCCTCTGTGCATCACACATATGGGTGCTGCGCCTGCGCAGTGCCTAGGCCGGAAGATTAGAAAGCAAACGTTTTTTGGCGGGAAAACTCCCCTCCCCTCCCCCTTTGTGGTATAAATAGAGCGGAGTGTCCGCCATTTTCTTCAGTCTTTGCGACCGCCATTTACTGTGCCTCGTGCCTGTTCGTCTCTCACATTGATCTTTGCCCCTCTTTGTTCGTTTTTTCTTACAGTTCTCTATATCTCTCCCTATCTCCTTACATTCCAAGTTTTTCTCTTCCCCGTTACGAAAACCTTCTTCCTTTCTTCAAAAAAAAAAACAAACCAAAAATATTATTCCTTTACCCTCTGCACTATCTTCTTCTTCCTTTTCGCGATGGCGCAGCGAGCAGCCTTTCGCAAATGTATTGAGTGCGGCTCCAAGATGTCCCCAGCGGACCCCCACGACCTATGCCTTCTCTGCCTCGGCAAAGGGCACCGGACCGATAAATGTGGCCATTGTTTGGCCTTCACCCAGCAGGCCAGGAAGAACCGGGAGAATCCTCTCCGCAGACTGCTCTGGGCCCTGATGCCGTCAGAGCAGCTGGCCTTAAAACCTGGCTCCACTTGGGCTGCGCCTCCTCAGCGCTCCGCCTCGGCCTCGGCCGCGCCTTCGAAGTAGCGAGCAGAGAGTGGCTGAGAGGAGTGAGAGTGTGTGCGAGGCGCTGGATGGGCTCTCTGTCTGCGTGGAGCAGGGCGATGGGGGAACAAGTAGGTTGGAGTGCTGAGGCTGGGCAGTGGTTGCTGTGGCCCTGCCTGCTTTGGGCTGTGGCTGTGCCCATGGATGATGGGTGGTTTCTGACATCCTAGACTGGAGCTGAGTCCGTCCTGGAAGCAAAGGGGGTTCCCATCGCTGTTCTAGACAAGGTTTGGGTAGGTTCAGGTATAACACATGATTTATATTACTGTTTGAAACCAGGCCTGCCCATAAACCAGAATTAATTTAGGGACAATAAATCAGGATCTGAAACCACAGTTTGTACTAACTATGGTTTGTTGTTTGCGTCAAAATTTGTGCATCCTTGCCAAATCACGGTACAGCCATGGAGGTGGGAAGACACTTATGACCCTTTTGAGAGAGGAGGAAACAAAGCAGACAAACCACTCAAGACCGTAGTTTGCTTGTGGGAAGCTCTGGTGAGGTTCTTAGCTATGAGCAGGACAAACCGTCAATTCACATAAAGTCTGAACTCAGCCTTCATTTTAAGTTCAGCTGTAGATCAGGTTCCAGAATCCTCATCAACACACAGGGGCTCCATGGCAGATGGTCATGGACTTCTTGGGAGAAATGATTGTGTCAAAGTGTTCCATCAAGTCTGGAAAAGTGGGTAACAAAAACTTTTGTATCTTAGAAGTGTCATTTAGGACAATACTAGATATGAATAGAGATTGTTTTATAAAGTAAGATTATTTGGGATGTCAGATCATCTTTTCTCTTGTTTATTTTTTTTCTCTTATAAAGAAATGGCCCCTCCTTATTCTGTGCTTTCTTGTTAATATGCCTTAAACAAAAAGCATTCCTTTCTAAGTAACGGATCTACAAAATGATCAAAGTCACAGGAGAGCTGTTCCTGAGTGAATGACTCCCATGTTGCTGGGACTATGTTTAACGGAGCTATCCCATGCGGAAAGTAAATCCCACTGAGTTGAATAAGACATTTCCTCTTTGGCCTATCAGATTGTAGCCAAAATGTGGGCGGCAGCTAGTCTTTCCCACAGAATTGCTGTCCCTCAGGTGGATACCAGTTCCCTGACAGGATCCTCGCGACCAGTCTTGCCTACATGGTGGTCACACCAAATGTTCTCCCAACCATGCCATGTGTAGAAATGGGGCTTCCACGTGGCTAGCATAACAAAGGCCCCGCTCAAGCTTCCTGAAACGAGACTGGGCATACTGGCGAGGAGAGGGAGTGTCGTCGCCCTGCCTTTCTCCTGCACTACATGTGCTGCCCTCCACTTGTGGGGAAAGCGTCCTGAGGAAGAGATGAGATGCTTCGCAGAAACCAAAATGCCCTTGAGTTCAGGGTGACACGCATGGCAGAAGAGGGGCCCAGCCTTGTGCTCCTTGCTGACTGTCCAGGCAGATTTGTCTGAGTCTGAGGAGGAGGTGGAGCAGCAAGGGGGGAGCAGGAGTTCACTATTCTAGTGAAGTTTCTCAGGCCGAGTGTGAGAATCTGCCTTCTTTGGAAGGAGCAGAAGGGTTTTCAGGGTGGGAGTGGGAGCGGGAACAGATGCAAGACTCAGTCCTTGACCCAGGAAGGAGGTGAGGGAGGAAGCATGCTGGTCTCTGGTGTTTCTGCTGTCTGACCATCCCATGGCAAAAGCCACCCTGAGGTTGGAGTCAGAAGCTGCACTGAAAGGAACATTTTCAGTTTGGATTGGACCTTGATACGTGCAGATGCTTCTCCCTCGACTTTAATGAAAGCTATTTAGAATTCCTACCATTCTGTAAAATTGTCAAGTCTCAATAAAAAATGGCATTTCAAGGGGATTCATCTTGAGTTTGATAAACTCGAGGAAAAGAGAGAAGGGCCCTCCTGATGGCCTTTCTGTTATGGCCTACTATGGCTCACAGCCTTCTTCTCCCAAGGGTCAGAAAGCCGGAGTAGAACCAAATAAGCCCCTGTACATGCTTTGGAGTGTATCACAGACCCATGTGATATATTCAGTATTCTGTTCTTCAAATGCATCTTTTGAGAGCGTTCTGCTTGGAAATCATGTCTGGATGTTTCTAAGGTTAACATTGCCAAAGATCACAATCATTGCTGTCTTCATCTAGTGGATCAACAACATCGAAAAAGATCAGATGTATGACAAGTGGCCCTCGAGTTTTCAGGAACTTCTTAAACCAGCATATGCAGGAATGATGCGGCAGATCCGACGAAATTTATATAATTTGGTATGTCTTTCTTTGGAGGTAGACAGTATTGGGTGAATGACTTTAAGGGTGTATTGCTATGCATGTTTAACTTACTTTTCAGCATAATTGTTCTTTTTAGAGGCTACACGAAGATTAGAATTTCCAGTGTCAACAAAAGGCATTAAAATGAATTTCTGTTGGTAGACCAGCTACGGATTCTGTTCTAATTGCCATCCACTGGGAAAGAACAACATGCCGCCTTGTGAATTTGGTTAAGGGCACGCACACATTGGTATTCTTTTTCCAAAGAAAGAAAAACAAATCCATAGTGGCTACAGAATGCCAAAATGGCCAACACTAACTTGCATACAATCAAATTCCAACCCACTTATCACTCCGGAGCTGCTGCAGATGCTTCTCTTTTCTGGTGCCCCCAGGGCAGCCCGCAGGTACCCTTTCCTGTCCAATATAATTACCTGGCTGCTGCTAATCTAGAGACCACGATGGTATAGAGATGCGCACTGACAATGATTGCTAAGGATGCAGCATCCACATTTTAGATCCTTCCCGTGAGTGCATTGCAGAAGAAAATGCACATAAAATGTATATCCTTATGGTTGGCTGGCCTTTAAATGCTGAAATTCTCTTTATCCCTGGGGAGGAAGCAGTTTTCTGTTCTTCCATGTAATTTAGTTTTTAATTTAAGAACACTTTACTATGGGAGAGCCTACAGATGTCAGTCTGGAAGTACATCTAAGTACTATATTACATCCTAGGATAGTTTGCATGATGTAGCTTATTTCTTCTTAGTATGAGAAGCTCATTCCCAGTCTCCATTTTCTCAGACTAATTAGTACCAGCTACACGTATGTTGCTTACTTCCCTCAATTTGTGATGGCCAAATGGTAAAACACAGTTAAAAGAATTCACCACAAGTTTCCAAAAATCTCGCTTCCTTTATTGCAAGTTGAACCTTTTGAATTTATGTTGCACTGAGCATCAGATGAGCAGCTGTAGCCTAAAATATTCAACGACAACAAAGAAAATAAAAAATATTTCTGTCAAGAGTAATCATTTTTCCAGGGTAAAAAAATATATATTTGCAGACAAAATGTAGATATCATACATATTTTAAGTATTGTTCTTCTCCACCCACACAAAAGTACCACTAATCAGAAATTTGCTGCAGAAAGCGATAAATGTATACAAGTCGTGTGGTTTCTGAAAAGACAAGAATGACAATTCTGCTGCAGTTTATCACACAGTGGTGAAGGCTTTACTACAAATGCATAAATTCTGAAGTTGCCTCCAAATATGCTGACAAACTTTCTTATTTTTTCATTTCTTTTCCTAGACATTAGTAGAAATGTACAGCCTTCTTTTCTGGGATCATTTGAACTAGTTTCCACTAGAGTGGTAAATCTTTCTAGATTGTATCACTTTGACCCACAGGTGAATCTTCACTTGATGGGAACTACATCAGTGACTGTAATTTCCTCATAGGGTCAGTTTGTACACAACAGTACATGGGTAAAAAAAAGACAACTGTTTTCAGGGATGTGCATCAGCCTCTTCCACTTTTAATCAGCAACCTGAAATGATGAAGGATGGGGTTAACAGCTTGGTTGTTTAGTCACTAAACAATCTACCAAGCTGGATTCGGACATCATGCTGAATGGCATAGAAACATCAAAAAAGAGTCAAAAAGGAAGAAAAAGATGGGTCTCCTGGGCCATCCAGCCTGACCCCTGGCTCCAGCCGGCTCTGCTCATGTAATCCCCAACATGTGGTTGTCCAGCCTTTCTTGAACACCCTCACTGATGGGGCCTCAGTCACCTCCAAGCTTTGAACACCTTGATTTGCTTTGATTTGGTCAGAGCTCTTCTCCTGGTCACCCAAATTTTTGTGTGAAGATAATTGCTTGAATGGTGGTAATTCAGTTGTGAGTCTACAGCTGCCCTAGCCCAGAACCAATTTACTTTCTTGGTGAGAACTATTTATTTCAAAATTACCATCTGCTTTTGTGAACCAGATCCACCCGAGGAGTGAACAAAGTGTACAAATAAACATGCAAGAATATGGTATTATAATTAAGGACTTGAAATTAAAACTACAAAAGAAATGGATGCATCAGGATGCAATTTGTACGGTCTAAAAATATTTTCAGAGACATAGCAGCTGAGCTTCAGTAAAGCAACAGTATAACCAACTAAAGGCCTTTTGAAATGGGGGTGTTTTCAAAGTCCTTTTGATATCGCAACTGAGGAACTCTCTGTACCCCCTTAGGGAAAGCTCTAATCTTGTGACCTGACATTCTAACTGATCGCAGGGTGTGTCAGCAAGTAGGTTCTCCAGTGCTGATCTTAAAACTGCAGGTGGTCTTTCAGATAGCTGGCCCCAAGCCATTTATGGCTTTAAAGGCCAAAACCATCACTTTGAATTTAGCTTGGAAACATATTAGTAGCTGGCACAATGCATGTAATTTGTTTGGACTGTCAGACCCGAATGAGCACAGAAGTGGTTGCTTTCTGCAATAATGGAAGGTTCCCATTTTGGAGGCTCCTTTAGGAGCTGTTAAATTGGCATAAAGAGAATTATTGTCATATTACATTTGTATCCTGACTGTTTTTCAGGATGCAAGGAACTTGAGATGGCTTACATAGTCGTCCTCTCCATTTTATCCTGAGAACCATCTTGTGAAGTAGGTTAGGCTGAGAGTCTCACAGTTATGCAGGGAGCTTCATGGCTAAGTGGATATTAGAACCGTGTCCAAGTCCTTGTCCAGCATTCTAGTCATGACACGAAACAGGTCATAAAAGATACCGGACCAATGCATTGCTTTCTCTTTTTAGGTTCTCTTTATTGATCCTACTCAGGAAGAAGCAGTACACTTCATTAAACTTGTTGAAGTTATCTACAGTCAAAAAGTACCTATTAGGTAAGTTAACATCAGAAAACTGACCTGACTTTATTGTTTCTTTGGTGTCTGCACCCTGTGTGGGAGAAATCCAGATCTGTGTGAAGTTTGCATGGATGTATTTTGGTGAATGTACCCACTTTCACAACTCACTACCAATTGCAGCTTCTCAGTGATTGTAAGCCTGGCCTAAAACATGTGAGATCTGTATGCACTGGGTAAGTGCCATGCATGGTTATCATGAATTATCATGGTTCGATTACCACGCATTGCTAGAACAGTGTTTTTCAGTTGATTCAACTGAGCATGTAGTACTCATGAGAAAATGATTAAAGGATGTTATAGAGCGCATGGCCTACTTTGCTTGAGACGGTGTTTACGCAACCTCTTGAAGATCTGCTTGTGTAGCCTGGAATTCGATAAGCATCATGACACATCTGACAAGAAAACGAGTGCTGGGACTTGTGAGAAGCTTCCACAGGTGTCTGTTGGAAACAGAATGCTATAATAGAGGTCCGAGATCTTTGGTGGTTCCACTATATACGGATCAAAATCATTGAGAGAAGAATCGTTACAGTGTGCTGCATACTCTCCAGATACTTTGCTTTTCATTATTTAATCTCTGATAACATGTCTTCCCTTTTTCACAACCATGGAATGGAATCTTGATCTGTCTGCATTTAATTAGAAACAGGAGTTTACCTGGCGAAGCATGATCTCCTGAGCCAACCCAAGTTTCATACCTGCATGCTCATTATTTGCACCATTGGAGAACTGTCCATCCATTCACCCACAGTGACAACTGCAGGATTACGAGTATTTCTAGAGTTTTTTCCCCTGTGGTAAAAGTACAGATTTTTCCAGGAAGGCCTCTGTGGGTTCCAGCTGTTTACAGAATCAGATTCACCAAATCAGAATATGGGTCCAGGAATAGTTTGTGCTGGACTGCCATGGCCTGCCCAGTAGGGAATCCTGTACAGGGTGCTGAGCCTGAAAATTAAAAGAGGTTGCTGTGTTGGCAGAGGGCCCAAGTCTTCCCAGAAGAAGCCCTGATGGGGCCCAGCAGCCACTGCAGGAGGGCAGTCCAGCTTTTCATACCTCAGGGGCTGCATGAGGACGTCGACATGGAACCTGGGGGCCACACAATGAATTGCATTTCCATATAGTAAATTTAAGTGATTGCAAAATATGCATTTAATTTAATTCAATTATTTTAATTAAATTAAAGCAAATACATTTTATTTAATTTAATACACACAATTAATTTGATTTAATACACACAATTATACATTTATGTATCCCTTAAGTGAGGGAGAAAACCCATATGAAGGCTCAGAGTTGTCCTGAGAATGCTTTGAGGGTCTGTGATCTCCCCAGCGCGTCCCACCTGCTTCTGCTGACCAGCCCAGAGGCACACAGGAGCCGAGCTCCTCGGCGCCAGTCCATCGGGCTGGAGGCCCCGTGCAGCTCGTCAGCAGGATGGGTGGGGTGTGCTGGAGTGAGTTCTCGTGAGGCTGCCAGCCCATCTCACCCTTTCACTTCCTGAGCCTCAGCAAGACCGTGGGTTCAGCTGGTGACCTCGCACAAGCTTGCCGCTATCATGCCCGTGCCATTTCTGGGATCCGGATGAGCAGGGAATGGGTGGTCTTCAAGTAGCAAGAGGGCCCTTGTCATCTGCCCCGCATTACAGCATCTGTCATTACCACACTCAAGCTGGAAAATCCTGAGCTTGCATGAACTGGTGTGGAAGCAGGTCTATCCCTCTGTTTCTTCGAGAACAAAAACACTTCTTAGGAGAACTGAATAGCGCAACTCACTTCCCTTTCCTAGGCTGCCACCTCCCTGGCCCAAGCCCATTGGCCACACCTGACAGGAATGCCCAGCAGCTGGGATAGGTTGCATGTGATGGAAACAGTAAAGTTTTGGGGTGCCAGTTCCTGTGTGAGGACATTCAAACATGAAGCCAGACCATGGTTTTTAAAGCCAAGCTATGGTTTGTTTTCTGATCTGAACTTATGGCATAGTTCAGACTTATTCAAAGGAAAGAGTATCTCTTTTCACCCTTTCTCCTGTTTTAGGCACAAGAGGAAGAGGTTCAAAGCTTGCAATTGCTGTTTGAACAAAACAGTTTCCATTTTTGTCTGAATATGGAAAACTGGCTTCTTCTAATCATAGTGCATACAAAGAAATCAGGATCTAAAACCACAGTTGGATCCTGATATCTTTGAACAAACTGTGGTTAGAACAAGCCACAGTTTTCCATGTTCGCACATCATTAGAACCTGTGGGTTATTCAGAATAGTGATGGGTAGCTTTAAATGTCTTCCCCCTTGCATGAGTAGGAGGAGAAAGGCTGGCTCAAAACTATGAATCATGATTTACCCTTATGCCTGAACTGGGCGAATTTCAGCTCAAATATCAAGGTTTTCAAAGGGCTTCCAAACCAGGATATTGAACAATGATCTGAAACTGCCTTGTAATCACAGTTATCACTGTGGGTATCATGACATAGCATCTCATAGGCCGTTAACAAGCCACAGTTACGGCTGTTCCTGTGCTGGAAGAAGCTGCTGCACAAATGTATAAAGCAGAGTACAAGATGAAAACACAGAAGCAGTCTAAAGCATGGTTTCTCGGTTGTAAGTTTGGAAGCCTAAAAAATGTTACAGGTTCTGATGTACATCTGTATAGATGGTGCAAGGTCTGAATGGGGTCACTATAAGAAGTGAAGAAGTCTAAGCTGTCTGTGCTCCAGTTCACTTCCTTGGCTTGCCTACCCAGGCAGTCAAGTCACTCGTGGTGCACAATCCTTTATGAAAGTACTTTTCTATCCTGTAACCCACCTGTAGCTCACTTTCATATTTTGTATGTTGCAAGTTGATTCTTGCTGCTGGAATTTTAGTGCATTAGAGGCTGTTATGTGTGTGAAGACTGAAGCCACTCTTTAAAATCTGATTGTTATGTCACTTTACAAATGTTGCCATTTTCACAGTATTTTTATTTTTCCTGAACAGAATTGGATTTGTTTTCGTCGTAAATACGGATGAAGTGGTTGATGGAAATCAGGATGCGGGAGTAGCTTTATGGAGGGCCTTTAACTTCGTTGCAGAGGAAATGGATATCCCTGAAGCTTTTGGCTCCATAATACATGTTAGTGCTTGAAAACAGATAAAATATTCTTTTACTCCAGGTTCCCCTTACTTTCCTAGAGGTACAGTGTAGTAATGGGTCAGTACCTCATCTTTGAATTTGGAGGATATGGTAATGCATCTCTCAAAAATATTTATTTCTGAGCCAGTTTTGTTCTTACTGGAATTCCTAGTCTGCAAGCCTTTCTGAGAACACTTAGATGCTCATAGCAAGTGGATGTCTGAGAGAGAGCGAGAGCGAGAGCGCCTGGATGAATCCAGAATCTCTCATTCCAACTCCTTTCCCTAAGAGGCCCTCTCACTTTAGATTATGATGCATGCTCCTGCCACAAGCAAGTAGGAAGCGGCGAGTTCAGAGGTGCTGAGCAGAAAATAGATTTACTTGCACTTCAGCAGGGCTTCTGGGGGTTGGAGTCCAAACATTTGGAGATCTGCCTTCTGCCCCTTGCTGGTTTACAGTGACTTCAGGGAGCAGGGAGAGTCAGAACAGGCGGAGAGAAGGAAACCCAGAGGGACACTAACAAGGCGAGGGGTGGGGTAAAGATTTCCTTCCCGATCCCAGGCATTGTTAAATATGACATGGGAAGCTCATTCCGGCAGTGGCTGACCCTGGGCAGCGGCAAAGGCCACGCCCGTGGCAGGCATTTTTCAGGAAGAGACTGAACGCAAAACTGCTTGCATTGTGATGTCATGCCTTCCTAAGCATCTGTTGTGTGGCTTGGTTTGGAAAACTATGTACAGATCTGGTAACTTCATTGCACAAAAGATACTGTGGAGCTGGGAGTGAGTGGCCCAAATTATCAAGGTGGCCTAAGCGGTGGCCCAAATTATCTGCACAGTTTTTCACTTGGGAAGCTTTTAGTTTAGGAAGAAGGGAAATGAGTGTCAGAATACCAGAGAATAGGAAGCTTGGGTGTTCCAGTGAAATCAATTGGTGGTAGATTCAGAACAAGCAAAAGGAAACAGTTCACATAATGCTTAATAGTATTACAGGATTTGCTGCCATTGGCTGTTTCCACTGACTTAGATGGTTTTAAAGCAGGATCAGATGGATTCCTGAATGATCGGGCTGTCATTCCTTCTAACAGTGAATTCAGGTAGTTGAATCCCGACAGGATAAATGCCAAATGCGGGCCTCTGAGAAACAAGAGGGAGGCCTTGGCATGCTTCAGTAAACCCTGAAATTTGCAGAAGTGCAAAGTTTGTTTAAAATGAGCAAAAGCCAAAACAGAAACTCAAAGAGTGCATCCATCCCAACCAGGCAGCAAAATGAGAATTGCGCATGCTCAATGGCTTCCAGAGGCCGTGGAAGGCTGGAAACGCAAAACAGCGCAGGGAGGTCTGGATTTTCATGTTTCAACCTTGCCTGTTGATCCTGGAAAGAGCATGGCTGGCTGGCTGGCTGGCTGGCTGGCTGGAGCCCTAAACAAGAGTGTTCTTCACTGCATGGTGAAAACATACCACAATGTTTCACTGCAGATTTCCCTCGTTAGCAGGTGTTAGTCATGACAGCTAAATCTCAAGGTCCAGGGGCATTGTGACTCTGGCTATCAATTGCTGGGGTTGTGGAGGAGAAAGAACTTTGCAAAGAAGCTTCTAGTTAGTCACCTTGGGAAACAGGGTGCTGAATGAGATAAACATTAAGTTCCAAATAAGCTACAGGGATTCCTTTTATTTTATTTTCATGCCGAATCTCAGTCTTAACAAGATGTAAACAGGTAGTGCCCAGTCTGATGATGCTGGATTGTAATTCCTAGTCCTAGCATAGCCAGTGGCGAAGGATGATGGGAGATGAAGTCTGACCACATCTGGAGGACCACAGGTTGACCATCCCTTTTGTTAATGGACTTTCCTTCCAATTTTGTACCCTTGCAGTTCAAGATTGAACATGGATTTAAAAGAGATGTTAATTCCCTGAACACCTTGCAGGGTGGTAGTCATTAAAACCCTCTCATCTATCAACCAAACCAACAACTGCATTTGTAAAGGGTAGTTCTTGCATTCTATCCAGCTTCCCTAAAGCCAGCAGAAGTTTGTTCTCCAAAAGCTATTCTGGGAGGACGGCTCCAAAGTGCAGTGCTAGTAATAGACTCCAATTTCCAGCTTTATTAGTGGCTGAGTTATAGCTGTGAGATTTCACACCCCCTTCTTGCCTTAACTTTAATTGCTTTCCTTGTTGTGCTGTCAGATTTCTAACATGACTACATATTTAGCAGCTCACTCATATTTTTGGTCCTCCAGAACACAGTTGGCTACAAGACAGGTTTAGTATGTAAATATTTGCCTTGGTTGTTTGATTCATTTCATGGCTGGGTTCTGGAAGGACATGAGATGGATGCATATAACTGTTTGGGAAAATAAATGCTGGTTTCCCCCCTTTCCCCTGTATTTTCCCTTTTCCTTTAGTGCACAGAAGTGAATATGATGGATGAATTTTAAGAGAGAGTTCATTGAAGTTTAATTGGTTAAAGGTATTAAAGTGTGCCGACTCTTGGTTACTGCTGAAAACTGGGTAATAACATAAAGTAGGTGGCTTCGTGATTGGGTGACAGGAGCCTTAAAACCCACTTGCGGAGTGGTAATAAAAATGTAATATAATATGGCTACATCAGTAGAATGGGTTATCTCATTTCTCTCTCTCTCTCTCTCTTAATTAGATGTACCGTGAAGTGAAAGATGGAGGCGTACTTTCTGTGTCGCATGTGAAACGTGTTCTTCGCAGTGCATTTCCTCATGCTGACATGCAGGATATCCTGGGCATTCACTCCTACTATGATGAGAGGAGAAAGGTAGAAAGAGTGGCGCTGCAAGAGGAAAACCTACTTCATGCACATGGCTTGCTGTGCGTGGCACTGAACCCTGGAGAATTCTGCTCTGTTTGGGAAGTTCTGTTTTTCCTCGTCCACAACACCAGGCGCCTGTGATTGGCATCCATGCCCTCTAGCATTGGTGCAGCTGTCTGACTGATGCAGTAATGCTCCGGTTCCTTCAGTCCGCCATTTTTCAAAGGGTTCCAGTGTCCAGGGGGCAAGCAAGGCAGGCAGATGGGCAAAGTTGCAATCCTGTGTCAGTTCCCAGAGTTAATCCGCTTGAACTTGTGTTGCTTACATATAAGATTGCACTGGCAGCCCCCTTGTATGCAATGAGATTTACTTCTGGGTAGACATGGAATGGGATGCAGGTGGCGCAGTGGTTTAAACCACTGTGCTGCTGGGCTGGTTGATCGAAAGGTCGCCGGTTCGAATCTGCACAACGGGGTGAGTCCCAGCTCCTGCCAACCTTGCAGTTCGAAAGCATGCAAATGCAAGTAGATAAAAAGGTACCACTTTGGTGGGCAGGTAACAGCATTCCATGTACTTCAGTGTTTCCACATGACCACGGAAACTGTCTGCGGACAAACGCTGACTCCCTTGGCTAGGAAACGGAGATGAGCTCATACAGACCAGTGGAGTTACCACATAGGTGCAGAACCTTAAGTGTGGGACCTAAATCAGGCCCTCTGGGAGCCCCAGCCTGATCTCCTGGGGTTTGTTGATGACCTCACCCTGTTTCTCCAACAATTGTTTGGCTTCTCGGCCTTTGTGCAGTTGTTTTCTCATCCTTAAACATCAAAATACCTCTCCCTGGGCTTGGTTGCTGGACACAGGTGCTTCCTGCAGTAACCATGAGACATCATCTCTGGTCTCACCCTTTTTGCCTTCAGCCCTGCCCTTTCCTGGAATGCAGCCCATGAGCTCCTCCCAAAGGAATTTAGCGCTTGGGCCAGAAAAGGTTCTGCACCCCTGAGTTACCCCTTTTCTTTTCTTTTTCTTTTCTTTTCTTTTCTTTTTTCTTTTCTTTTCTTTTCTTTTCTTTTGAATAAGTTTTATTCTTAATGTATACCTAACAAAAAAAAAACTAAAAAGCATCAATCATTGATAACATCAGACCTACTGGGTCAGCCCCCCACATTTTTTCTTTTTATGTTAAACTATTAACATATTTAAATCTATGCATAGTCCCGTTTCTCTAGCCAATGATAAAAAGAGTCCCAAGTTTGATAGAAGTCTGTATCCAATTTCTCCTTCAGAGACAAAGTCAATCTGTCCATTTCGGCACAGTCCAGGATCTTTTTTAGAATCAGTTCGTCAGCAGGTGGCTCTTCACTCTTCCAGTATTGGGCAAATGCAATCCTCGCTGCAGTGGTTACATGTAGAGTCAAACACATTGCTTGTTTACTAAGAACATCAGGTACAATGCCTAATACAAAAACTTCAGGTTTAAATGTTAGAGGTTTTTGTAACATCTCCTCAAGCCATTTGTGTATTTTAATCCAATACTTTTTTGCCTTATCACATGTCCACCACATATGATAAAAAGTACCCGATTTGTGTTTACATTTCCAACGTCTCCATTTGACATGTTTGGAAACATCTTAGCTAACCTATTTGACAACAGATACCACCTATAAAACATTTTATACAGTTTTTCTTTGTATTAAGTTGCTAATGTTACTTTAATATTTCTTTCCCACAACTTTTGCCATTTCTCTAACTCAATATTATGTCCAAAGTTTTGTGCCCACATTATCATAGTTTTCTTAACCTGTTCATCTTCCATTCTCCTATCTAGTAGGAAGTTATATAATCTTTTAATCATTTTCTCTTCTGATTTAAGAATCACGTAATCAAATGCTGTTGGCTCCTTATAAAAACCCCACATTCTATAGTCTTTAGCATGTCTTGATTGCATTTGAACCTTGTGCCACCCTGAGTTACCACTTCCCATCTGCCTGAAATCCTCGCCTTTCTCTGTTCACTCCTGTTGTAGTTCCCCATGTGACGTCCTGATGCCGACAGCTACACTGCAACATTCCAGGTCTAAGCAAAAGTGAGAGTCCCTGTGAATTTGTCATCATTTTCATACCTTGTTTCAGGAATGTGTGCTCACCTCTGGCAATTAATAGCTTTTTGTTTTGCTTTCAAAATTGCTTTTCGGGAAGTTGTAAAGGAATAATAAATCACTCTGCAGCTCTGCTGTCCCAACAAGGAGTACATGGATGTCTGCGTTCGTTGTCTCTTGATATCTAATCGCTTCTTTTCTGCAGTCAGCTACATTTGGTGTAATTGTGACATCTCTGATTTGCCTAGGCAGGAGCCGCGTTTTATAAGAAGACTCGCCTGGGCCCGTTGCCTCAAGCTCTCTTTAATGGAGTGCCCTTTAACAAAAAAGAGATGAACATTGGGGAGTTGGGGACCTCTCTGCTAAAGATCATGGAAGCCACAGAGTCCTTTCAGAGGGCAGTGTTCATGGTATGTTTAGCATTATTTATTTGAAAAAGCATGTGCAGTGAAATATTGGTGACTGGATTGCTTCAGTGGTGCTTCCGTTCCACATCTTCTATAATGAGGCGGTTTGGAATTAATGTTGTGAAAACCTAAATGGCATCATTATTTTAATTTGCAGTCGCGAATTTGAAACCTAATATATAATGATTATCCATGCTTTAGAATTTAACTAAGCACTTGTTAATCTTTAAGATGCTTTGAGCCACAGTACAGATATTGGTAAGAAAATGTGGAGTGGATAAGAGAGTTGTCTCTCTTTCAACAACATGTTCCTTTTCTAAGATCTTTTTCTGTACAGAGGATTGTGTTGTTTATCAGTTATAAAATACATTAAAGACTGTGTAAAAGCAAAGAGGTAATTTGGATTGGGTCCTGCTGGTGAAGCTGAAACCCACTTATAGATGGTGATGTCAGGGGAAGCCAGTGGTGGAGACCCTCTGGAGCCGGAGGCTCATCACCACCAGAAAACCTCCCAACCATCACCTCCAGATGGCTTATCTCTAAGATGGATGTCACTAAGCATCTGTCTGAAAGACACTAGCCTCATCAGCTTCTGGCAGTCTCTTAGGATAATCTTTTCCAAACCTGGTACCCTTCCAATATGCTAGACTGCAATTCCCATAATCCCTAGCCAGCATGGCCCATGGATATGCTGGTTGGAAATTATGGGAATTAAGCCCACATAGGGCTGCCTTAGACTATATGGAGCTAACCATATTCTATTCTAAAGTTATCAAATGTGCAGCACTAAGAGTGAAATTTGGGTTGTTGTGTCTGTAGGGCTTGTTGAATGATCACAAGGATGCAGTAGACTTCATCATGGAGCAACAGAATGTCGTTTCACATATACACGACAAAATTCTTGACACTGAAAGAAGATACCTGAACTTTGCATCACCATCAGGTTAAATCAAGCAGAGTTTTCTGTGCCGTTGTCTCTTTTGGTTCCTTATTCTTTCCCTCTTTGATTCTAACAAGCCAGTTTTCCATTTTTCCAGTTCCTATAGATACGAAGGATCTCTCGACCTTTTCCTTTCTGGACTCCCAAGATAAGGCCTTTGTTATGTCAGAAAACATGAAGTATGTGACAAAGAAAGGTAGGCTTTGTTTCATTTAGCTGTTGAATTGTGTAATACTATTAGCCCTGCGTTGTATAACAAGGCTAGCACAGGCGCATTGTCTAACCATGCATGGTGCTATCGGTGGACTGTTACCTAGAAAATATGCAGTTACCATCCCAAATATGCAGTGAAATATTGGTCCAGCTTGCTAACCTTATTTCCCGAGGCCATGTATCATTTACTTATCTTGCAGAAAATGATCACAAGGATGCATCCCGGAGCCACAGAATCTGCCAGAACTTTGGTTGTTGCCTTTTTAAAAATAATTTGCCATAGTTAAGAGAGACAATTGTTTGGGAAACCTGTTGAAACCAGTTTCACTTCCTGGCTTGTAGCCTACCAATAACTATGGATTTTCATTAGTGCCTATTGCTTGGACATGGTTGTGTATTCCATCTACTGGAAGTGTCAACCCTGTTTGTTTCTCTATGGTATCTAATATTGCTTAGGAATATTCCATTTGCTTAAGGCAGGGATGGGCATGATTGGACCTGCAAGGTTTCCCCTTCCACCCATCAGCATGACCCCCTGTCTCTATCCCCTCTTTCCATACTTGATCCTCTTCTTCTCTGCCCCCGTCAGCCAAAATCTGTGACCTCCAGGCTCTTCAGAAAGCAAGGGGGACAGATTTCCTAATCTCTCCTCTGCCACACTGCATTTAGGCTTGAAAAAGATATCCTGTCAGTGCCAGTGGAGGCTTTGTAAAAGCTTCGTTACAGCATGGAGGAGGCATTTTTGAGCAGTGGGTCACTGCTATGAAGGAGTCTCTTTCTCAAAAGCTCAGAGAATTAACCAGCTCCCACTGCTTTTAGGTTTGAAAAAAGTCTTCACGGGTACCAGGAGCCAAGGTTCCTCCTTTGAACAATCACTGGCCACAGACTGTTTTTCTTGCAAAACATTCTGTATTGCTTCCAGGTACAGATCGCCCAGAATGGACCTCTGAGCATGCACAGAGCAGTTTGTTGAACCCAAGCTAGTGTTTGCCTCCAGAAACTCTCCTTATGAGCATGCCAGGGCCCCAGCCCCTCAGGAGGGACTCTCTGAAGGTGGGATGCCTCCTCTCCATGCACTGGGCCTCTTGTCTCTGGTGACTTCTCATGGCCCCCCTCTGACTGCACATCTTGGCCGTTCCCAGGGACTGCCTTGCCCAGCGAGATGCCTGATCTTGAGATCATCAGCTTTTCCTCTTGCATCTGCAAGTCTTCACCTAGCCCATTCTTCCCAATTCACTCTCTTACTCCAAAGAATAATCTTGGATGCGGCCAACAGTTCGTGAGAGCGATTGCCCCGATCTTCCATGTTTCTTCCCCCCAACTTCATTGGGAGAGGTTTTCAAGCCTGCACTGGGAGGAAATTCTAGGGGAGGGGAAGGCAAGCACTGCCTTTGCCGGTGCCACATCATTTGCTCAAGAACACCATCCCTTTCTGCATTCAGTCGTTTTAAGCTAGCAGTGGAAGATTTTTAGAATCCTCATTGAAGCTGGGGGCATGGCGGGCGGGGGGACACTGTTAGGAGGAGCAAGTGTCTGTGTTTGAACATCTTCGGGCATTCACATGTTAGCAGTGCCCTTTGTCGTGGGCATCTGCCTGTCTTTTCCCTTTCCAGCAAATGAAGGTGGAAGGATTTTATTGATTTAGGCTGCCACCTGGGGCTGCGATATAGAGTGAGTAATTCAAACACCGTCACAGGGGGCATCTGCCACGGTAACAATCCTCTGGATTGTTGGAGTGAGCCCCTGCCCAGGTCAGGAGTTGATTCCAGACCAAATCTGCCCCCTCCCTTTACCTCCAAAAAGGAGGGACTCCACCCTCAGGGAGGATGGTGCTGTGCGTAGGCCAGACAGCAGGAATACCAGATATTGCTTATTTGGTCTGTTTATTTAACCTGACAGTGAACTACTGGGGTGAAGAACTCTCAACAATTCCATAGCCAGACCTCTCCTTGTGCCTCCCCTGAACCAGATGTGTTCTGGTTCGCACCTGTCATTTGGCAGCTTGTTAACCTTGGCAGTTCAGTGATACATCTGAACCTTCCTCCGCTGCTGCTGCCGCCTCCTCCTCTCCCCCCCCCCCTTAGTTACCTTCAGAGTCTGAGCTCTCTACCTGCTGCATTTTGGGAGAAGCAGGCCCAATCTATACACCCATGTTGGGTGTGGTGACCCAGCCTTTGTTAGGTGAGGTCCAATCCACTGTCGAAGGGCTTAGGATGAAAAATATTCCATACTCCTGGCATAAGCAATATTTGTTGTTTACTGACTCTTGGCTTTATTATGCTTACAAAACAACACATCCTTTTATAAAGAGAATTAATTAGTTGCTAAGTAAAAGATAACTTGTGTTTGTTCACTGTGCTTTTCTTTTAAGGCATGCTTGTGTATATGTTTTGGGGAATTGAAATATTACTTAACGGGCATGACCCTATGGCAAATTTAGGCAGCAGAAGAGCCTACATCTGGCTGTTGGGAGATGTAGACCTTTTTTCTATCCAAACTTGCATAGGACTGTGCCTTAAATGTGCTATGTACTGCCTTGTTATGTATTATAGTCCATAGAATTGCACAAATAGTAAAATAGTTTTACAGTTGGCCTGGTTCAGATAGTATATTTGCAGTATTTGGTGGGACTGGGTGCCACAGGTGGGGAACTGGGTACGCGCCCCTTCTCTCATATGGCATCCTTTACTGTCTTTGTTTTGGAGTTAATCATAGTACACTCTTGTATCAGAACCAACATTTATGGTAACTATGGTTATGTTAATCACATACTGGTCACTGCTAACTGTGATTACAGTTAATTTCCATGCAGATCTATAGCTGCAGTGTGGTTCTCTCGGAAAAGAAACTGGCGGGGTGGGAGGTCGATTCATGCGGAGGGAGGAGATAAGTCTTGGACCTAGGCACGCTCCGGATTCCGTAGCAGTAAGGAGAGCTCAGGAATGCGTTGGGGCTCTGGGTTGTATTTAGAGGATAGTGAGCTAGTCTGGGAAGGTGATGAAGGATCCAGGAGTTTTGTGACTCGAGGCAGGTATCTTGATTCGGTAGGTTTCCCAGGACAGCATCCCGCCTGTCTCAGAAAGTCAGGAAGTCACATTCTTCTCTTGATACTCGTAGTGTGGGGCAAGAGATGCTCTTCCATATGTTTCTTCTTGATATAGTTTCCTTAGGGTCATGTTTTAAAATAGCTGTGTATACAGTGCAAAGATCTGTCTTTCCACTCTGCTGTTACACTCAGTCATTCTTTTCACCTGTCTTATATACACACCAGCAAACATGTGTTATCTTCTTGTTTTTTCAGATGATAATGTGATATATCCAGTTACCATATGGATTGTGGCCGATTTTGATAAGCCAGATGGGAGGCAATTGCTTTCCAATGCACTGAAACACCTGGTCAGTTCCAGAAAACAACAACAACAATTCCTATTATTATTATTAAAATATTTATATAAGATATATAATGTGTGTGAGAGAGAATGAGAGAGAGAGAGTTGGAGAAATCTCACATATATATTTATATAAGATATGTCATTCATATATATATATATATATATATATATATATATATATATATAAGCTCTCTTATGGCTGCATAATATCAACACTGGTGATAGTCTGCTCAGCAGGTCTTTGATGAAGAACGGTGATGGAAATATCAATAGTGGCAGATTATTTATTCTCTATTACACTAGGGAAAGTTGAAGCTAGAAGAAGAAAAGGAAAGCCAAATAGGAGATGGAGGGACCCCATTAGGGAAGCCACAGCCTTGAATTTAGAAGGGTTTGAGCAGGGCTGTCATTTTGGAGGGCTTTCACTCACAAATTACCTTGTGCCCTTATAAATTACCCTTATTATAAAATTACCTTATAACTCAAAAAGTGTTCAGAAACAAAAAGCTTGTTTTGATGGTGAACTGGAGGGAATTTAGGCAACTAATATATGATAGATTTCCCTTCTCCCTTCTTCATATCATCCTGTGCATGAAGTGTCCATGATTATAAGTAAAATCATTAATCAAATATTGAATAAATAAATAGTTACATAAATTTGTGAATCCCAAATTTATGGAAAAGTGGGAACCTTTGATTGAATATTGGAAAAATAATAATGAGATAGAAATTAATCTGTATTTCTGTTTTACTGTCTTCTAAATTATTTGTGGAAAGGCAAGTACTATGTAATGCTTTGTGTTATGGGTCCTGTTTCTTTTTTTGTAAATGATAAATCCGTATGTGTAGTGTTAGGTAGGTTTCTTTAGATCATATAGATTTTGATTTTTATATAATCTGATGTGACTGATTGATAGTATTTTAGTGTTAATATTGTTTGTAGGTAATGCTTTGGTGTATATGTGTGTGGCATATATTTGTTTAAAAACAAAAATAGCCCGTTCCACAGAAAAATAAAACCAAGCATTTAAAATTTAAAAATGAAATAAATAAAAAGGGACCACCTATATTAAAAAGTAAGCCTGTACGATCTGTCTTCTCTTACAGAAAACCAGCAGTCACATTCAACTTGGGGTCGTGCACAATCCTGCTGCAAAAATTACGGAAGATGGCACTGTCATGGCAAGGGCCATCTCGGCAGCGTTTTTAACACAGAAAAATGCGAGCTTGAAAACCTTTCTTGCTCACATTCTTAAGGAGGAGATAGCACAGAGTCTTGCTACGGGAACTAAGATCAAGAAGTTTCTCCTTCCGGTTAGTCCTTGTTTATTGAGCTCTTAGCTCTTCATACCTGTGCAAACCTGCATTCCTTCTTTTGATCTTGCTGGATTCTGCATGCCTCAAATGCTATTTAATTGCCTATTCCTATATGAAGATGGCCTGCTCATCAAGTCTCGCCAATGATTCTCAGCTGTTTTTCGTGTGCAGGTTCAGTAATTGCATTTTGCACCATTGTAAAGCCAAGTGATCCAGTGTTACTGACTTTGGATCTGCTCCTTATACCGAACATTCATTGTAATGTTGAGTGGATCATTTTGGCCAATGTGTACAATCAGAAAGCATAATATTTCAGTTTGTTGGGGAGCATGTGACATATTGGATGCTCTCCAGTGAGTAAAAATAAAATTTCACCCCACATTGAAAACTAGGGTCTTAGGAGAGATATTTAAGTCTCAGTTTGCTTCCTTGAGTTGCTAGATTCTGATGTGAAAGGAACTTTTCCAGAGAGACTCTTGGGAAAAACACTGACTTACAGCTTCCCCAATTTCTTTGTCTTATCTGAAACAGGGTGGAGGGGAGGAAGACCCCAGTAGAGAGAAATACACGTTTTATTTATTCCTTTACTGAATTAGTTTTGAAGCCCCCTGATAGCATCACAGATATGTTAGAATATGTCCCAACACTGGGGACGGGGTGCACCTTTCTCACCCCCATGACCATTGAAGGAGATGCTGGTTCCCACATGCACACACGCTTTTCAGAAGAGGTTGGGACCAGGGGAGATCACTGTTGCTGAAGGACGAGTCCCCAGCTTCTCTGTAACTGTTGCTTCAGATGCCAGAGAAGGCCCTTGACTGAAGGAAGATTCTCCATTAAATGCCGGGACCTTGAGCGCTGTGCGCATCTGTGTTTCCTGGTTTCCCCTTAGAGGGCCGTTGCTCCATCAGTTCAAAGAGGAACTTGCTGAAGTGCGTGGAAGAGCACTTCCTGTTGCAGAGCCGGCTTGTATATGAGGTCCCGCTGGGAAAAGGTTTTAGGGATGTTTTCTTTACCCTTTTCTGACCTCGGCTATTATCTGTTCCAGGGTATGAATGGCGATGCTTTTGAGAAGAAATATAACACCATGGGCACAGAGCTCATTAAGGTTCACCAGATGTTTTGCCAAGAGGTTCTTAAGCTACTTCCTGGGCAAATGGCTACAGTTAGTAATGGCCGGGTAAGTAAAGAAACAGGCCTCTGTCTGCCGTCTCCATCGGTGCTTGAGCTCATCAGGCCTGACAGGGCTGGGCGGTCGGCTTCATGAGAAGGAAGCAAGGACACGTATGAAAGGCTCTGTCCTCCACTGGCATTCTCAGTCTTCTAGACCACATCTCTCCCTTAGAGCTGGAGGCTGGGTCAAGCTCTTTCTTGTCTCCTCCAAGGGGAGGGCCTTCTCCAACTTCACAGAGCAGCTTCTACCCCGAAAGCCCAGCTCTGGCTCCTTTCCATCTCTTTCTTCTCTGCCTTCTTCCTCTGCACCTCCTTAGTCCGGCCTCCTCAGAGGGGCTCTCCAGCAAAGGCTCTTGCAGCCCCAGGGCCAGTGGAGATGCAGCCAGGAGCAGAATCCCCAGAACTAAAAAGGGGAAAGTTTGTCCGCATCAGCAGTGTTCGGTCCCACTCCTTCTTCCTGCGCAGGGTAGGGCAACAATACTGTTCCAGCCCATCTAGGGTGCAGCAGACCAGGGTGATGGCAACTTTTGGTATGAAGAAAACTCATTGTAGGTGGAACCACTTTTTAGGGGAATGTACTTTTGCATCTGATGGGGTTTGGTCACCTGGCACTGAAAGAATCTCTTAAGAAGGAGCCCTCCACCCTTTTAAGATTTCTAGCAACGGGAGACGTACCTGGTTGGCACAGAGTAATTCATGTCTGGAACTGAGGGTCTTCTCAGTGGCTGATCCCACTCCAGGGCCTTCTCTAAAAAACCCGTAAGGGTATAAGGAAGCATGAGTGTCAGCAGTGCCTTGGGCCATGTCCAAGCACAAGCATAAAACAGCCTGCAGTGGCTGTTCTTCGGAAGAGCTGTATGTAAGATCTCCCCCCCCTCCTCCTCCTTCTCCTCCTCCTGCAGCAGTTCACCCCTCCCAAGTGCTGAACACTGAAGTCTTTATTTCTGTTTGCACAGATAATAGGCCCTATAGAAGCAAATGAATTCAGTGTAGAAGATTTTGATTTGCTGGAGAAGGTCACACTGACGACAGCGACGGCGAAGATTAAAATTCTTGTCAAGGAAATGGCTTTGGGCAGTAAAAGGTAACATTTCTGGGTTTGAAACGGGTGGGGGGGTTGTATGAACATATCCTGTGGGGTATGCAACTTTGAGCATTCATTTCTTTAGGTCTAGATCAGTTTGACTGGTTGCCCTTGAGGTTTGGTCTAACTCAGGGGTCTCAAACTCAACTTCCCTGGGGGCCGCTGGAAGGAGAGTCTGGGTGAGGCTGGGCCGCATCAAGTATTCCACCACCGCGGTGGTGGTGGGCCGCTCATCCCGCGGCCGGCCCGGGTGCCGCCGGCGCTTTGAAGGCCGCAGGGCCCCTCCGCTGTGCCCCACCCGTCCCGGCAATTGGCCCGCAGGCCGCGAGTTTGAGACCCCTGGTCTAACTGAAGCTGCATTCCATTTACTTGTAAGAGTCGGTCCCATTGGACTGCATCTACATGCCTGAAAACTCCTGCAGGGTGTCTGTTTCTGAAGTGGAGGAAAGAGAATTAAGCCACTAGAATACCTTTCTTTCTAGCCACTCTTCTGGCACCCAAAGCTGAAACCCTGTTTAAATATTTCAAATCATAAGGTGTCATAATGAGAGTAAGTGTTGCTTAAGGAAATACATTGGTGCTGTTTATTTGGTTAGCAGAACCAACGCTTAAGAAGACAGCCGTGTATGCATGTCACCATTTTTCACACTCTTTGGCTACTGGCTGAAGTGAGAAATGTGGTCACCACACAGGTTACGGGTAACGCAAGGAGTGCCTGCTAGATGTTTGGACTACAGCTCCCATCAGTCACAGCCAGCATGGCTAATGGTTAGTATTATGAAAGTTGTGATCCAAAACGTCTGGCAGGCAGGTGAAGGCAAGGTGACCATGGCAGTTTGCAGAAAGATGCCACTGCGCCAGCTCCCAGAGGCCTTGAATTATGAAAATGATGCAGACTGGCCGCATGCATTTTCCAAGATGAATGAACAGATTATTTTTTGAATGGATGCTTCGTTTTCTGTCTGCTTTGGGAGCTGAACTTTTCAAGGCTCAGCAACTGAGTGTGCTTCCAGGAAGAAGGCTTCTCGCACTGCCAGGCAAAAGAGCCTGGGCAATGGTCTTGTCCGCTCTCCCTCTTCCTCCCTATGCGTGTTTAGATAGGAAAATAAGTCCTGTACTTCCCAGCATTCCTCAGACAACCACTGTGGCTGCAGGATGTTGGCGCTGTAGGACTTCTTCTTTTCCAGCAGGCATAGCGTTGTGTCCTTGATGGAGGAAAGGGATAAGATGGAGAGGGAACGCAGTGGGGCTGAGGACAGCACGGTCTGGTCTCCCAACCCCTGTAAAATTCTGTAATTGAGGCCTGGTGATAAAACTCATCGGGAAGCAGCACAAGAAACAACACAGCAGAGCCTCTTGTGACTGAACAATCAGAAGCTGAGATAAAGAGTGGAAAGTTCTTGAGGGTGCTTTCCCGGGCTTGCTTAACAGAAAAAAAAACCTCTGCAAAGCATTGGTTGGGAGTTGGTGCTCACAAGAGCACAAAGCTACTGAGTGCCTTTGGAGTCCTGGCTTGATCTCAAATGTAATATTTCCATAGCCTTGTTAACATATAAAGCTGTAGTGATGCATTTGTGCAAGTTCGTTCTCTAATGTTCATTTTTTAAGCAAAAAGGATGAACATTCAGTTTCTCTTGAAAATCTGTTGCTTCAAGAGTTGTGGCTCATTTCAAACAGCGCCCGAGTACAGCGTGCAACCATCTGCAAGTCTCAAAAAATATTGTCTTTGCTGTTTTAAATTCCTGCTTCCTGATACTTTAAGGAGGGCCAATAATTTTAGACATTGTCATCCCTTCTTACATTCAAAGTTTCGAAAACTTGACAATGTTGTGGTGTTGTATACTTTAAAAGGATACTTAGGTGATTCATCCTTCTCTACAATAACTTTTTTTCTTTTAGGGGGAGTAATTTAGTCATGAAAGTGAATGCGCTGCTTTCTTCATTGCCAAAAATGGATACCCGCCATGATATTGAATTTCTTGACGACCAGCACAGGTAGAAAGACTCAAATACTAGTGAGAGTATAACTAAATCCTTTTCCTTATTCCACACAGTTCATTTGCAGTTGCAAAATCTTTTAGTGAATTTAAGCGGCATGCAAGAACTTTTATTTGCTTACAATATTTATATCCTTCTGCATATTTAAACAGCAGAAGGAATGACACACAATATTAAAGAGAAACAAGCAGGTATATGGTGCAAGGCCCAAAACAGCAGGAAGAGAGATCCATAACTGAGGGGCCACAACTAAGAAAGCTCTGCCTCTTGTACTCGGGAAAGGCAGATGTTCCAACCAGCTGGCACATGAGCAGAACCCCTGGTGATAACCTAAATGTACATGCAGGTTTGTATGGGTTAAGGCTGTAAGACCTTGGTATCCAAGGCTTGGGGAAGCCCTCAGGTTTGCAGGAATCTGGTGGAGAAACAACTTGGGGGAACACCTCAAAAACAGCCCAGTGAGAACTGAACACGGGGTGGAATGCTGATTGGGGTGGAGGAGGACAGGAAACCGGAAGGAAGGCATGGCTGACAGACTGGAATAGAGTGTTGGGCATGGCAACATTTTGTAGCAGGGCCTACATGTAATCTGCAAAAGGAGGTCTTAAAGTCTCGCAAACGACTGTTGCATATGCGCTCTTTCAGAGAAACCATGTATTTAGAAAGGGATCGAGTGCTGCAGTCCCAGCCTCTATTCCTTAACAACTGGAGCTTGGAGGGATTTTAGTGATGTGCAATCACATTTGTTAATCTTTTTAGTGGAGTTAGTCTCTCCCAGATCCTGCAGTGCTGACACCAAGGAACCCTGCCACCAAGCCATAATCTATCATTGCAAGGGTTACGTGGAACATATTTGTTTTCAATGCTTTGTAATAACTGGATATAAACTACCACGTGGCACAATACTTTTCACTGGAAAGTTACAAAGGGTTGAAACATCAAGGGAATACATCCAGCTGTTGCACCACGTGAGCTCTGTGCCAATGGCTAAAAACACGGGTGTCTTTTATACAGTGCCTGCTACGCCTACAAGTCTCACGGGACCATTTTCATATCTCTTGCTCAGTGTTTGATGTGTTTTCCCCCGTAGTGTCCTAAAGGTAGATCCTCAGCAAAGTGAGCCCTTCTTTGACATTGTTGGCATTGTCGATCCACTGACAAGAGAAGCTCAGCAGTTGTCACATTTACTGTTTGTAAGTTCATATCATTTTCTTATGCACAGTTCCAGCTCGATGCTTGTCTCTAATTTAAGCCACTTTGGCATATTTGCATCCCAAACTGCTTTAACTACCACCTACTGATAGTGCTGATGGCCAGCTATGGGCTATGTACATGATATGGTCAGAGACACCCTTCCTCCGGTTCAAATCCAGTCTTGGCCAGGAAGTGTCCTGGACACCTGGAGACACCTGTCTCTAACTCTAACCTTCATTGGAGGAGGGGGAAAAGGGCAAGTGAATCCAAAGGACTTTGCTCCAGTGCAGGATACAGCTAAGGTGTATCAAATACTTACCAGAAGGCAGAATCTCTTTGATATAACTGACCTCAATGGGAAGATCCCGTAAAAGGAAAGTTTTGTTTTGGCATTTGTCGAGCTAATTTCCCAGCCACTTCTTCATGGACCAGGTTGCTCACAGATCTACAGATTTTATTCCACAGAATTGTGATGAAGCAGTGAATTTCTGACCCCATATTGCAGATAGAGGCACAGCTGAAGTTCCTCTCTGGTTCTCAGCACTAGAGCAGCAAGCTTGTGTCTGAAAGCAAGGGGAGGGGGCAGTCAACTTAACCGAGTGAGTTTCGCTCTTTCCCTCATGCATCACACACTTATTTCATCATTTTCTGCTTTCCTTCCTCAGAGCAGGAGTGCGGGTTTCCCCAGATGGCTTGGTGTTCCCTGCTCCACACCCCACATGTCCCCCATGCTGGTCTTCCTCATTGGTCTGTTGCTTGCTTGCAGCCAAGCTCTGGCTGCCCTCCCCTGGGTTGCAACACCCCCCCGCCTTCTCAGGTAGTGGAATAATTTGGCCAGCAGCAAGTCGCCCTGCCTTTCCAGCAGTGGGAAGACCCACGGGGGGCGTGGGTAGACTGACCTGGGGGAAAGGGCCCTTTACGCATTAACCTCCTGGTTGCATCTGTGGGTGCTGGTCAACCTCATCCAACGGATGGCCCTGTTTCGCATTGCTGCGTGAGAGTAGCATAAACAGCTTTGGGTGGAGTTACTAGCCCTGAGGGCTGCATGTTTCCTTCAGTATCGGAAGCTGTAGGCTGGGGAACATGGGCCGGAGGATGCGGTTGCAATCATCTCAGGCTGGTGGGTTTCCTGTGGAGAGCTGGTTGGCCACGTCGTGGGCCGTTTGTGTTGTGTGTTGGACTCTTGCTCTAAACCAAGAGACTCTCGGTCTGATCCAAGAGCGCAGCTCCTGTCCTGTGTGCCGTGCGCACGTTTCTCCCTCACATCTTTCTAACAGATTGAAAGAAAGGCTTATGAAATTCTGCCCTTTGCTGAAGCCTGACAGAGCCTTTTCTAGTGAGTGAAGTGGCCCAGGGTCTTCAGGGCTGGGATTCCAAAGAAGAAGAGGGCCTTGAGGCCTCTTCTTGGGAGTTCTGGGACACCAGGCTGAGGAACAGACCTTTGAAGGACCCTCCAATCTCTGCCTCCACGTTCCCAGGCCACCCAGAAGGGTGGGAATTTTTTGGAAGGGTCAGGAGGGTCAAAGGAGAGGAGGAGGAAGGGCTGTCGCCTTGCCTGGTCCCTGGCCCACTGAGCGTCAGGAGAGACGAGCTGCCCAGGTAGGGCTTCTGCAGGTCTCTCCAGCTAGCGCAGAGTTACTGAAAGAGAAGCGCTTTGGGAAGAAGCCCCTAGTTTGGTTCAACACACATTCTTGGCGTGCACAGAGCCTTCTCTTTTGGCTTCCTAGAGGGCTTTTAGAGCTATTTCGCCTTGTAGCTGCAAAGTGCCAATAAAGGTCTGCTTTGCAAAGAGGCTGTCTGGTTTTTTGGAGCCTAAGGGCAAGAAGGGGAGATCTGGGCTCCAACAGTTTTCTGTGAGAGTAGTTAACAAGATGCAAGATTCAGGTGGGAGTGCCACCGAACTGTGGGAGCAGCTTCTGCTTCTGTGAAGAGTCAATTCCGGACTGAAATGGTTCCCTCCCCCTCTCCTTTCCCCAGGGCTGTGACTGCACCTTCCGGGTAGTTCCCAGAGTGTGTGGGTCAGACGGAGGGAACATCTGACATTGTGTGGTTGAGCTGCTCACTGCCCTGGCACAGCATCGTTGGGTCTAAGCATTCGCTCCCCTCCCTTCTTCTGCAGAGTCTTCCCCCATTTCCAAAACAGCTGGGGTCTCGGCACTGCCCGGCCAATCCCTTTTGTTTGTCTTGCCTTTTCAGACCCTCCTGCCATCTCCTCTTCACCTGCTACCCTGTTTATCAAACATGCCAAATCTCACCTGTCTGCACTGTTAGAAAGCCAGGCTCCATCCCTCTTTGTATTCCTTGTTAATCCCATTTAGAGTAGATCCATTAAAGTGAATGGAGCTTAAATTAGACTAATGCTGGAAATAACCATTGAATTCAGGATACCAATCCTTCTTTCTAGTTAGGCCAAACTTTTAAAAGGGATTCTTTAAATATGGACAAAGAAGGTGCAAGGGAGTAAGGGGGAGAAAGGGATGATGTAAAATGGGTGTGAACAATATTTATATATGGGTACATTGTTGGGAATTAAGTTGCCCCATGCAAAATTTAAAGCATAGGCCCAGGTAGAATTTTGTTGTGCATAATTCTGAAACAGGAATAATTCCACACAGAATAATAAGTAATATTTCTACTAGGTGCTTGGTCAGATTGTCAACATGAGGGTGAGGCTTTTCATGAACTGTAGATCCAAGCTGTCAGAATTACCTCTGAAAAGGTAAGTCACGTGGGAAATGTCACTCTTCAAATGTTGACAGTGCTAGGATTTCCTGTTAGAGGTGTTTCTTGACTCAGGCTTGGAGGGAGCAGGGCGGGAATCCAGCCTGTGGCTCCTGCCTAGTTTCAGAGACCCTGCAAGAGATGTGTTCAGAAGGGTCTGGCCCTCAGCAACTCATGCAGAAGTGTAGGGGGGGGGGGGGGGGGGGAAGGGGTAGCAAAGAAAGAAGAGCAGTGTTCCTTCCCACATCTAGCTGCAGATTTGCTTGCATCTAACTTTGACTCTTGACAGACTACCTCCAAGCTTGCTGGCATAGACAGATTACCCTCAAGAGAATGTGGACTTCAGCAGAAACAGGTTCCCCCCGCCTCCTGTGAGGTGTGGATGTTCCTAGGCTTTTCCAGATATCCAGCCGTGTCCCCATGCTAGTGGTCTTGATACCCTAAAATATCTACTTCTCCTGATCTGTGCTGGTCCTTGGTCTTGCAGCATCTTTCTTCCAGAATCCTCTTTTCTTCATCCCACTGCTACATAATTTTCCATGCACCCAGACATCAGCACCCATTTGTCTCCTCTTTGAAGCCCTGAATGCCCCTCCAGCTTAGCAGCAGTCTGATAAAAACATGCTTATGGCAACTGCCGTAACCTCGGTTGAGTATTAATACAACAAAATTGTCCTTTAAGCAAAGCATATTCTCCTAGAAAGAAAGCTAATAATTAGAATCGCTTATCAGAGCTCATCATATTACCATTTATTTATCATTTTCTAGTATTTGCTTTTTATTCTGTAACCCATAGCCAGGATGCCATCCCCTTTTACCAAAATAATTAGATCATTTGTTACAATATTATGAGTTTCTGTGACTTGTATTTTGCTTTCTCCCAGGCATAAAATGGGTTCCGGGCAAGAGATTAATCATTGCACGCCTCATAGTTGTGAAGGGCTTGTGGTTGTGTCCAGGGCAGTCACATTCTGCTGACAAGGGCTGCGTTCTGAGTTGTGTGTCCAGTTTTCATGGGGCTTATGGTGATTGCCATATTCCTGGCATCTGTCGACAGCAAAGAGCGCGTGTTTGTCAAGGGCTTGCCTAGTAATTGCAGACCTGAGTAAGAAGAATTGCAAAGCCCTTAGAAATTAAAAATAAAGAAAGAACACACAAGTTCTTCCAATACTCTGTAGCAAATGAACTGACTGCCTCGAAAATTAGCAGTGTTATGTGCTCAGCAATAATGAATGGATAAAGTAGGATCAGGGCTTCCAGCAATTTTTTAAACAAGCTCTTATGCAAACCTTTCAGTTGCTTTTGGCCTTGCCTCTGCCTCTTTTGTTTAACCATTGCATTATTCACTTGTGCCTAGTTTTTACCGTTTTGTTCTGGAGCCAGAACTCACCATTGGGACCAACAATATCTTTCCGTATCCGCCTGGGGCCACCTTCTTTGAAATGCCAGAATCCCCTCTTCTGACACTAAACATGATCACTCCAGAAAGCTGGTTGGTTGAAGCGGTGAACAGCTCTTATGACCTTGATAACATTCATTTGAAAGAAGTAAGTTCATCCACGTATCTGCAGAAATTACACAAGCATGTGTTTCATAAATTTGTAATTTTTTTAGCCCCATATGCAACCTTTCAGGATTTGTGTTTTCTTAAAAATCTTTTCCTGCTTGTCCCTAATACCCTAAGAAGCACAATCCGTAAGGGTGTGATCCTGTGCAAGTTTTCTGTGCATGCTGGAATTCGTAGCAGTTTCCAGTGCCTAAGCATGCACGCCTTCGGTTGTGCCCTACGGCCTGAACAGTTCGCTTGCTGTGCTCTCTAGGACTGGTCCTTGTGTCATTTCAATGCAAGTTTGGATTCTGGAATGGTAAAAGAAAATATTCAAATGCATGCTGGGCATGGAATCAGGAAAGATGTTGATTCAAGGAAAACCGTAATTTAACGTGTGGTCATTTTTAAGTAATACATTATTTTGTTTAACTTCCCATTGACAGGTGAGATCCAATGTTCCCCCAAAGCAGTAGGAAAAAACATAAAGAGGGAGGGCTGAAACATGACTTGGCTATTCATGTCTCGTCAAGGTTGAGGACTGATGGCAACATGGAGTATGTCAAACTCCACTTGCCAGTGAGTCCTCAGCCATGAGAAGGTGTGGTTTGCCTTATTATTATATTACTTATTATAAGTAATAATAATTGCTTATTATTGCCTTATTATTACTACCACCACCACCTCCACCACCACATTGCATGCATGTCCTGCCCTTTTCCCCCTGGAGAGGAACCCAAGGCAGCTTCCCTATTCCCCCTCCTTTGATCCATTTTATCCTCTCAGCAACTTTCTAGACTGGATTCTTCTAGATTGGGCTAATTCTTCTAGATAAGGCCAGACATGCACATGGTGGGCATGTCGTGAGTGGAGCCGGCTGGAGCCAGGGGTCAGACTAGATGGCCCGGGAGGCCCCTTCTGACCCGCTCTGTTTCTGTGTTTCTCAGGTAAATTAAGCTGAGAGCTTGTGAGTAGCCCAGAGCCACTCATTGGCCAAGTGGGGACTAGAACCCAGGTCTGACACTTCCACAGTACACCACACTGGCTCTCCAGCTTTGCTGTGGGGCTTCCGTTCCTCCCTTTCCTTAACCTAGTGAAAAGTGAATGTTTTACAATTCTACCCCATTGTAATGACTCAGAAAACAGAACAAGGTGGATTGAACGATCCTACAAAATGCTAATGTTCTCAGTAATTTGTCATGTCTGCAGATTCTTAGCCGAGGAATTGTTCTACCTATTTCATGTGTGGGGACAAAAAACATAAATAAGCTGCTCTCTTTCTTTGACATGATCATTTTTGGTCATTAATATGCCAGAAGTTTATAATACAGTTTTCTAAAACCAAATCAGTTTGAGTTTTAACCTTCCTTGCGATCCAGCAAAGCTGTTTTGTTTTGTTTTCATCATATTTATCTTTTAATATGACACTTACTAATCTGGATCAGTGAAACTACAGTTCCACCTGCAAATATTTGCAGAGAACGTGCAGCTTTACTTCATCTTAATGACAACGCTCGCTCAAGGACCTTTTGATGGACAGCTTTCTCTGCTCATAGAAAGACCTTTGCAAACTGTGTTTATGGGGGTGCTTCCAACACTTCTGGGTCACTGGCCTTCTTCAAAAGAATCAATAAACCCCTGCAATTTGATTATCAGTTTCATTGCTGAACTACCAGTGGGCAGGACAAGCTCCCACTGTGCACAGCCTGTGGGATATGTTTGCCAAGACAATGCTTTGTGTGATACGGAACTGTTGCCACTGATGGATGCCATTTGCAGAACGATGTTGCCTGAGGCAGGATATGCCATCCAAACTCCCAGTGTGCCATACAATTATGACTGTTCTGTAACCTCAGTGCTCATTTATTTGTTTAATTTGTTTCCTGGCCAATGGCCCAAGGGTGGTTTAAAGTCATAAGAAGACAAATCAGGGCAATAAATACAACGAAAGGTTTAAAATACTAAAACATTAAAAAATATATGTAATATAACACAGTGAGGAAGCCATGCGGATCTCACTGGGAACAGCATTCCACCTCGGAGGTCCTAGTTCAGGCTTGAAGTCAAAACCAGCTTTTATCAGGCCTGGAAACTGGCTGGCTGAAGCCACCCAAGAAAGCTCTGCGACACCGAGAGGATGCAGTGATGGCTGGAAGGAAATTCTTCTTTGCCACCATCAGCATCAGAATAGCCTCAGTAATGGGCTCTGCCTGGTGTTTGATTAGATTTGGCACAGTCCACCTCCACTGGATGCCTTCCTCTGTGCTTCATAGTCCTCAGCACCACTGCATTACTGTGCTGCTGAGCAAGCTTGGCCAAAGGAAGGAGATGATTTGGAGCGATCTTCGTAACTGCCCTTGTCATCTCCAAATTCCACTTGGAGACCAACATAATCACCAGCCACATCAGCAGGAAAATTATTGCATTTTTGGACCACCTTTCTTCCTTTTGCAAGGGATCTAATTCCTTTTGCCCTTGGGAATCCATTGCGTTCTGTCCTTCTGCAGTGACAGGTTCCCCCCACATCCTTCAGCCTTGCAGAAAGCCAGAAATCTAAGCTTTTGTAGAGGAAGAACGGTTGCAGATAACTATCTTCCTTCCCTATAGCAAAGCCTGAATTAGGAGTATGTTCTGCCGCATGAGTTGGGCCGATGACCTGTTGGAGCAGCCCCGTGGCAGTTGTGATGGCCCTGAAGTCCCGTGCTACCCTGGCAATTGCAGGGACATGAAGTCAGCCTGGGCCATCAACCTGAGTGTCCTCATATGGTTGATGGAGACAGACGTATATGGATGGAAGGAAGTGTCCCAGGAGCTTGAAAGCAGGGCCACATGGTGGCTGAGGAACTAGCAACATAGTCAAAAGTTGCTGAATAGTATGTAACAACTTTGAGCTTCTGCACCAGTGACCAGTGCACTGACATTGGTTAGCACAGTGATGAATAAACAAAGCAGAAATTCCCCAAGAGGTTCTTGCCCTCAAATCCAGAACCACTTTTAGTTTTCAAGATTTGACAAATTGAAGTCACACGTTGAAGGAAGGAAAAATTTCTCCCGCTTTCAGTAGACCCCCTATCTGAACGTCGTAGCTTGGATACTCCGAACCTAAGTCTCCATTAAGTCTTCAGGGAGTCTACACACACTGTGCAAGGCTGGACCAAAAGGTTGCCTCACCACGTGTGCCTTTTTTCTGATAAATGGGATACTGAAAGTGTGTATTTTCGCAGGTAGACGGTGTTGTTTCAGCAGAGTATGAATTGGAGTATTTGTTGCTTGAAGGGCGTTGTTTTGATGTGTCCAATCGACAGCCAACTTATGGACTGCAGTTCACTCTGGGAACACGGAATAACCCTGTTAAAGTCGATACCATTGTGATGGCTAACCTGGTAGGTAATGACAAATGTTAACAACAATGACACTTGAAAATCATCCGAAGTAAATCTGTGATAAAGTGAGACCATGTCTCAAGAAACTGAAGAATAAAATATTTTGTTCCAGGCCCATGCTGGAAAATAAAAGTTTATTCCAAGCCTAAGGCTTGAAATGAAATATTTATTTTCCAGCATCCTGAGTTGTGATGTCTCTTTGGTAGGTACTAGCCAAGGCAGGAGAATGTACACCTCATCTGAACCAATGCTCACTATAGTCTTCCTAGAGAGAGAGTGTCGGTACACAACTCGTCTGTTATTATTTGAATCTTCCACTCTTGCTGGCTAAGAAGAGATTTTGATTTATCAGCATGGCTATTTCAGACAAGTTGAAAATGTAAGCCATGGGACTGATTAAAACTTGGCCTGCAGTTGTGAATCTTACTTATAGATCTGGAAGTAAGCAAACAGTACAGAGCTGTACTACTAAAGAAGGGGGTTATTTGCCTTCCCTGTCCCCCTGCAAGCATATGGAGATGTCGAGTCCATGTAAGACAAGGAAGTTGCTTTTCCATGCAGGTTGGTACCCCAGTTTCTGTAGCACCAGGGTGGGCAACGTACAGAAATCAAGATGCATTGGCCTCCCTGGAACCTGCCAGGGTCCATATCCCACCAAAATATTTGCCATCACTAGCAGCAGCCAGCATTACAGCAATTCCCCGTCCTTACAGCAGGCTGCAGGCATCCTACCTGCAAGCACAGCCCCTCTCCCACAAACTGCATCCTGCCACAGCCTCCGCTTCCAGAAGCCTCCCAGCATTGAGGTCGTGCTTGTCCTGCTTCTCACCATATCTGGGAATCTAAGAGAGTAAGTTCCAAGACCTGGAAAGAAGGAAGCACTGAGCTAGCACATCTGCTCCCTTTAGATTTGTTTTGGGTTATTTGCCATGGGATGGCAGAGGTTGAGGTGGCTGGATGGGGTCACTGGAGAGGTGGCTGTGGGGTTGGCGGAGGACAGGAGGACCCGGAGGAATGTTGTCCACGGGGTCACAAAGAATCGGGCATAACTTAGCGACTGAACAGCAAAAACAATTTCCCATGTAATAAAAGGTTCCCTGAAGAGTTACTCATGTGATGTAATATCTCTCCTGAACAGACATAAACCATTTTCTGGTATTACCGTGTAATCAAAGTATACAGAAATAATAAACAGATAACTTTATGTTGGGTTAATGAATTAACTTTGCTTTTTAGGGTTATTTCCAGTTAAAAGCAAACCCTGGTGCTTGGATTTTGAGACTTCGTGAAGGAAGATCTGAAGAGATCTACGAAATATTTAAGTAAGTCATAAGCGTCCTGTGTCAGTGCTGTTGTAATGCACATTTTAAACTGAGTTCAGTGTGTTAATGGAATTGTTTAAGGGGGAAATACCAATGTCATTAGCGTGAGATGTTGTTCATTTTGCAGTTTCAGATACTATAGCTTGAGCATTTTGATGAAACTGTCTTGCCTCTTACTTCTTCAGGCTTGACAGGTTGGATGTTCATTAAATAATCCTTGTTCACACAAGCAGACTGTGACTGCATCCTTATTCTTCCCACTTCAGTTGAACTGGGTATTTGATGGCTGTGGGAACAGTACTTCAGGCAGTATTCAGCACTGCTGCTGCCCTGGCCAAACACAATGCTCACACAACATGTCATTGGCCCAAACTGGTGGTTCTGGAGTGGGAATGGCCAGCAGAGGTCAGCAATGGTGGAGCACCGACGCTGGATATTGCCTTTCATCGGCGTTCAGTACCAAAAAGTTCCATAATTCCTCCATCTTAGTACAGAAGCTCCATCCCAAGAATGTTTACTTTTGTTTTTAAAAACCTAAGTTTCAAGAGCAGAACAAAGGAAATTTAAATGGACAAATTTAGTTTTAGTTGGTGCAGAATTTGTGTTGTTTTGCCTTAGAATTTTTCTTAAAACACAGAATATAGGTAATATAATTATAATATTAACATATTATTATGAATCATATAAATATATTATTTAATTATAAATATGGATTGTTAATTGTATTATTATTTAGTATATATATTATTCATATAATGTATATAAGTGTGTGTGTGTGTGTGTAAACTTCTTTTGTCTTTTAGTTAAGTCCTGTTTTAATCCAAGTTTATTATTCTTACCATTTGAACACCGTTTTTGGTAGAAAAGTAGAATAGACAGACAGACAGCCTCTTTGGAATTAAGCATAACTTTGGGCTGGTGTGTGGATGGACAGGGAATCTTTTTTTTTAAAGGCTGTATTAGCTTTCAGGTTAGTTGTGCCTTTCTTTGAATTCTTTTTTAAAGAAGAAACAGCATCTTCTGCTATTTAGACACTTAGGATTGTGCTATTCAAACAACAATCATCACTTTGAAGCACCTGCACCTGTAAACCCGAATTTTGTATGCTTTACACCTGTAGATGATGGCAGATCTAAATTTGGTATCTCAAGTGACAGGATTTCAGTCTGATTATTCCAATTCATTTGCTGTTCCATCTAGAGTTTCTCTATTTATAGTGTTGTCAGACCCTACAGGGCTGCAGTCAGGGATGCGAGGCATAGACGGCTTGCTGCCCACACCCTGGAGAATGGAATGCAGTGGTCAGAGGATGCCCTTCCAGCTGGGACACGATTGCCACAGCCCAGAAGCATGCTTAGTCCTGGGATCTGGAAGTTAGTCCCATGCAACATCCCACTGTGCTGCTGGAAAAGCTACTACATTTCCCTTAGCCTGTGAAAGGTATCACTGAGGGGTCTGCTGGACCATCCATTTGTCCGCCACAGTGCTCGAGTGATAAATCCTGAAGGGCAGGCATTCTGTAGGACAGTCTCAAAGCTCGACCCCAAAGGCAGGCAGCCCTGTTGCTCTGCATCAGCAAACTGATTCCAGCAGTTTTTGTCTCCTGTAAGAACAGGTCTTCAGGAAACTTAGTGGGTCTTGATCATCCATGAAGGACCAAGCTCCTCCATAATATTTTCTGTGACAAAAGGGATAACAATATGCTGTTGTTGGGAAAATCCATTTCCTTCCCAGAAATGGTGAAGTCTGTAGCTAAAGTCAGAGAGAAAAGGGAAATCTACGGGGTGGAGGTGGCAGATTATGTCTTTGTCCCTGTTGATTTTAGAAGTCCATTGCCTTGACCCATTAGTCCTGGCTCCCCCATGCCACCCCCTCTTTGCTGGGGGCTCACAGGAGCAGGGAGACTGGACCTCGCCACCACTTGTTCAGTTAAGTTCTTGTACACCGTGCTTGGTACAACTATATGGCCAAATAGTTCACACTATGACATTATCCTAAAATAGAATTATGCAATTAAAATGCTACCCACTCTTCCTCCACAATTAAAACAAAAGCACTTTCCAACTTCACAACTTCAAAAACAGACCAGACAGCAGAAATGTTAACTCTCTTCTGGTGATTAAAATACAAGCCTGGTTCTCACATAATGATGACCCATTGGTTGAAAGCCAAGCACCCACATATGCCTTATTCCCAGCATCCCGTGATTGACTCCTTGGTTGTTTTAGGGGCTAAGCAGCCCAGTGGATAACCTATCCACAAACATCTGACAGTACCTGGATGTCTGATGGGCTGCTTCTCTGAGCGAGGGGTCCATGTTTTTTCTGAGGAATATCCAAACCAGGCTTGTGAAAACTGCCTTTAAAATATTAGAACTGCTTTTAAAAAGGAAAAAAAATATGAAATGCTTTGAACAGAAATTTCTCACACTTTTGAAATCATTTGGCTCTTCCTTCTCCCTTTCAGGTCTCCTTGAAGACCCTCATTAATCTTGGTCTTCTGAAGCAGACCTTTGCAAAAGGAATGTGACCGACTGCCTAGGCAGCTTGGGCTGTTGGCCAGTAAAGGAACAAAAGAAACAAACAAACAAAAGAATGCCATGCTTTGGCTGCTACTCTGCTCTTCTCTAGAGGAGTGTTGTAGAGTTTGCAATGGCTGCCTCTTAGGAAGGACCCCATAATTTTGGCCCTCTTGTAACAAACGGTCCAGTAAACGAAGACAACCAAATGTTTTGGTTTTATACCAGGCATAGCTTAGGTATGAACCTGTGCTCAACTGCTTATCATTCAGAACAGAACAGAATTAGAGTTGGAAGTGTCCTGGAAGGCCATCGAGTCCAGCCCCTTTTTCCACATCCACATGTGCAGTTGTGTCCATCCGGTTGCCAGCCTGTGCCATTCCAGCTTTGCAAAACTGACTTGATGTTTAGTTCTGCAGTGACTCATTTATTGATTGAGATTTCTATCATCCAGAGGAGGAGTGGGAGGTGTATTTTTATGTGTGGGCGGGCAGGCAGATCCTGCACAATGTTATTTCCACCCTGTCTGCTCCTTCCCCTGCAGAACAACAAATCTTGCTCGGGCATATGTGTAAACTGCCCAAAGTAGATTAGCTACATGCTGGGGAGAAAATAAACAAAATCCCACTGATTTATCTTTGCCTGGACTGCAGCCTGCCTTGCTCCTAAAACAGAGAGATACTGGATAAAATCATTAGTGGATTACAAGAGCAGGGGGGATTGTGTGTATTGTAGCGCATAGCTGGCTCTTACTCAATATGCTAATGCTGATCTTGGCATCTCCTTTTGAGGTATGTCTATCGGTAATATTTTAGACATGCTTACCTCAGGAAGAGTTCTTCTGAAGGCTGTTCTTCTGAGAAAAGTCCAGATATTTGCAAGAGATTACCAGATGGTTGTTCACTTCTCTTCTAAGAATGCCTGATTAGTGTTCTAGTAAGCTGTTGTTGTTTTTAATTGCAGCAATCCAGTCTTTTGCCTGTAGAGATATTTAGGGGAGAGATTGGTATTCATAACCGGGCTTCAGAGACTTGGCTTGACATACTTGGCCACTTGTATATTGCTGTTCAGTGTGATTAAGATTATCTTTTAAATGAAGGTTCAGTGACACATTTTGCATTTTGAATTAACCCTAGGAGCCTGAGCCTGTGGGTTGGAGATATTGATATCTCAAGCGTGGAGTTTTGTGGCAGGTGGGCTTCAATAGAAGGACTTCTGCTCTGGAATGCAGCCATTGTGTAGCATATTGTTCTCAAAGTACCATATTGTTTTAAGCTTTGTCGAGCCAACTTGCTTGTTAAATTGATAGGGGTTCACCCCCGACAAAGCCTCTGCTGGAAAAATGCAAATGTGAAAAACTTCCTAAATTAATCAGTTAGTGCAATACATGTTGTGAACTACAGGCTTCCATTTTCTGAGCAAACTGTTCCACTTTAAGTCTGAATTCAAAGAAGCAACTCTTTTCCCACCTTAGGCACGAAGGGACTGATTCTTCTGGAGTTTCAGAAGAGGTTATTGTGGTATTAAACAGTTTCAAGAGCAAAATCATTGAAGTCCAGGTATGTATGATAATAAATCTTTATCAGAATGATTGTTGTTCCCCTCCTTTCCCTCTTTTTCTTTTCAGTGAAGTTAAAGATCAGCATGTTTAATAATGATGCTTGCTATATCCTTTATGTCCGTTTATGCCAGTACTTGTTTTAATATGTAGGTTCAGAAGAAACCTGATGAAATTAATGAAAACCTCCTGAATGACCAAGAAGACGACGAGGGTTCCATGATAAGGTAACCTGGTTTTGCTTGTATTTAGGCCAAACCAACACTCTCGCCTTTTCTGTCTGTCTGTCTGTCTGTCTGTCTGTCTGTCTTTCACTCACTCACTCACTCACTCACTCACTCACTCACTCATTCATTCATTCATTCATTTAGAAAATTTCTAGGCTGCCCCATTTGCCGAAGCCTCAGGGCGGCTTACAAATAAAATTCCTTTTCCAGGAATTCATTGCCCATAACCTAAAGCAGCTGAGCTCTTAATTCTTAAAGGATAAGATATGTAGCTTTTTCTCTCGATTCTTCTTTTCAGACCCTGCTCTTTAGCCAAAAGGCTCTGGAAGCAGGTGGCATATTTTTTTCTTTCTTCCTTTTTTATTGTGCAATACAAGCCCCTTTCCCCCCAAACCAGATCATTAGATGTTTTGCGTAGAGTGGATGCCACAATGCCATGTTGATCAGGGCCTGATTAAATTGGCCAATTGTTGGAGAAGTGGTGCTGGTAATGTTTCTCTTCTCCATTTGCTTAGGCAATGCCCAGTTCAACTTTGTTTTGGAGGAGGGAATAATTCAGATAACACTTGTAATGGAAATTTCTCTAATATTCAGGAAAACACATGTTCTTTTCAATTACTTACACATCTCTTGGAATTTTACACAAGGTCAATGTAAATAGACTTTCTGCACCCTTTCAATAGCTGAAAGGTTACTATTACAGCATTGAAAGATAAACAGCCACTTGCAATAACAATGAATTATTTAATGAAAATTTCCATTTTCGAATGAGTGACCTTTAGACATAATCTACAAATGGATAAATATATAGATATTTGGGATGCCTTTGCTGAAGCTTGCACATAATCATTTTTAGTAATGGTTGCATGTTCTGTTATATGCTCACATCAGAATTATATATGTTATTAGTGCTATGGGACTTTCAAGATTTTATTCAAAAACTTGAAAGTTTCAGTTAGCATGAATTGAAAGCAATCACATTAAGGCTAGGTAAGCTGAGCAGCCCAAGTGCAGCAAAGCCGGCCAGGCCAAGTTAAAAGACCAGCCTAGGAGGAGTGGTGGGAAGGTACTGTGTCCCCTGAGCTTGATGGCTGCTGAAGAGGCTCCCCTGGGCTACGGTCCCCTGGTGGCTGGCACCTTCCCCCCAGGTGGTGCTGGCCAAGAGCCTCCTGAGCTCAGCTTCCCTTTGGGGAAGGAAAGACAGGGCCAAGACCGTGCTGCGCAGGCTTGAAAAATGCTCCTCAGCCCCACCCAGTTGGATCAGGAGCCTCCCTGGGTGTCCGTCTTCAAACCGTGGATGAGATCGAAGGTCAGCAGACTTTGGTCCCAAGAACATCTCCCAGGACAGGTTGGAGACTGTGCAGGTGGGTGGTTCCGCACTGCTGCTCTGCAGTGGCCGGGACAGGACACTCGGGTTTAAGTCCTCTCTCAGTCATGAAACTCACCAGGTGACTTTGAGTCAGCAACACGATTATTCTGGCAGTAGTTGTTGGTGGGAAGGACAGAAGCCCCTATAACCGTGTTTGCTATTCTGAGTTCCTTAGAGGAAAGACAGGGAAGAAACAAACATAATTAATACAGTTCCAATGCCTGAACACACACCAAATTAGTTACCTGAAACTACATTAAGCTTAGCACCAAGCGAGTCTTTCCTGGGGAGAACAGTTTACAGGTGAGAAAGACAATGGAATACAGTTCCTCTTCCTGGCCAAATAAGCAGTAATTTGTGCTTGAGGTTTCTTTCCCCCTTTGTCTCTCAATTTGGATCTTCCTTCCTTGGTTTCCTTCCTTCCTCTTGGTTTGCTTTGCTGAAACAAGACTATTCCAATTATATTGAATTTAAAAGTATTTTTAAACCAGACTTTAGACCTAAGTGCAAGCTGAGTAATAATCTCTTTTGAAGTTTTTCAGGAGCAACTCAGACAACAGAAAAGGGGAAGAAAATGGATATATTAAACATATTTTCTGTTGCTTCTGGCCATTTATATGAACGCTTTTTAAGGTAACTGAAGATTCCTGTTGTATTTTAGGATAGATTAGAATGTGTTGCTTATCTCTATTTTAATCTTGAATGTGGGGGAGTGGCACTTAATATAGAGTTTATGAACGTTGGGGGCCAAGTTGTTTGAGCTGTAGTTTGTAGAAGCAAGATGTAGTCAAACAGGCTTGTTACCGGATTTTTATTTCTGACTGTAAAGATCTCAAATATGAAGTTCTGTCCTGACATATTTGTGGCAGTGTTTTATGTTGTGCATATGCTGATACATTCATCAATGGGGTATTTTTGTTCCAGAATTATGATGCTCTCTGTTCTGCGGCACACCAAGACACCAGTTAAATTTTGGTTTCTGAAAAATTATCTGTCGCCTACATTTAAAGTAAGCACGGACTCACCCTCCTAAAGTACCACCTTTGTGAATTCTTAAGATAATAGCTTTGTTTGACTCTTTTAGCTAAAATGTGTCAGTTCATATTTCATTTCTGACATTATGAATTAAAAGATACACATAATTTCATTTCTCAAATTTAAATGACACGGTTGTAGAAATAGTTGTGAACAGAGAAATCCCTTGATCATTTTCTCCACTGCTATCAGAGCAATCCATTTGTAGCTTGTTTACTCTTTTTTGGGCAAAGTCCAGCTGTTGCATCTGTATTTTGCAACTGATTGGGTAACTTTAAAGCTTAACGTTGCACTTAGATGTGATTCAGTATCATTTGATTCTGAGCTATAGAGTAGGAAGGAGGAACTGTTGCGATGGGACCAATTCCCTCTAACGGGACCAGTGTCTTAATCACACTAAAGACCAGCCTTCCTCAATCTGGTGCCCTCCAGACAAGTTGGGCTGCAGCTGTGGCTAAGCCATTCTTAGCCATTTACCACACAGGCTGTGGCTTATGGGAGATGTAGTCCAACATGTCTGGGGTGCCCCAAGTTGGGGAAGACTGATTGTGCACCTAAAGGTGGGCCATGGGATCAGAGTTCTTCAGCCACAGCTGGTGTGGACACTAAATATTACCAGCAGCCGTTGCCAGTAGTGGAAGCTAAATATGCACCTAGTTCATGAAGATTCTCCAGCCACCATTAGCTTTTTGGAGGCAGAACGCATTTCCTGCTGAAAATAGTGTTCCATGACCAGAGACAGGCAGGCCCTTTCTGCCCCTAATTCACAGATCTCTGGCTCTGCCAGGTTCCACTCAAGGTACAGCAATTTAAGAAGAAATTGCTTGCCCTTAACTTACACGGGAGAAGGACTAGCACCTGGTGTACTTTTCGTACGCTTCTTACATTGCTCCCTTATGCCATTTTGGAAAGGCACTGCATCACCGTTTCCCAAAAGAATTTTTGAGGAACTGCTCTAATTCTTCACCTGAACATGCACTCATGTTCTTGCACGAACTCATGTTCTCACATGCAGCCGTAGCTTTTATCTAAGACCATATGCAAGGCTGGTGAAGCTTTGACTGTTGGGTGGCTGGCACCTTCTCATAGATGTTGGCCATCTATCTGTGGGGCTGGATTGTTCTGACTCACCTGGGGAACACAGCAGCAACCAAGAAGGGCCCTCCTTGAATTAGATATCCACATGGAAGACCTGCAGTTGGAAATGGGTGTGGAGCATTTCTTATCACCCAGTTCCCATGTGCCCTTGACCCATTCATCAGTATTTGCTTGCTCGGCTGCTGTTTTCTAGGAAGTGATCCCTCAAATGGCGGAAGAATATGGATTCCAGTATGAACTTGTGCAGTACAAATGGCCCCAGTGGCTTCATCAACAGACAGAAAAGCAAAGAATTATATGGGGCTACAAAATTCTCTTCCTGGATGTCCTCTTCCCCTTGGCTGTCGACAAAATAATTTTTGTTGATGCAGACCAGGTAAAAAGATTCTTACTTAAGGAAATGTACATAGACCTGAATGTGTGTCTTAAGCAGGATAACACACAATAATGCAGATAAGAGTGCAATCAGATCAGCACCATCACACTAATAAATGTGAGAGCAATGTGGTAGTGCTGTCCCTAAATTCCACTACTTTAATCTGAAAGGGGTATATTTGAGTGCTCTGTTTCCTGCACATTCAGAACTGGCATTTTAGAGAGAAGATTCCACCTAATCTTCTTGCTTGGTAGGTTTTGTGTAAGAGCTTTTCAGATGCAATCTCACTTGCATACCAAAATAGATAATGTTCAGGAAAACCATTTCTACGTGCTTCTGCTGTTTGTTTAGACTCGTTCTCTGTCCTCTCCATTTGGGTGGACAATGCCTAACCAGAAGTTTTGTATTTTATTTTATTTATTTATAGCATTTTTATGCCGCCCCCATCGCAGAAAGCCTCGGAGCGGCTTACAAAACAAATAAACAAATATAGAATAGACATTAAAAATCTGGAGCATTTTGGCAACACTATAAAACCAATAAATAGAGACAGCGATTAACAGTTAAAATATCATTTAAATATTTATTTATTTATTTATTAAAACATTTTTATGCCGCCCCATTCGCCGAAGCCTCGGGGCGGCTTACAACATAGATAAAACAAGTTAAAATCCATATAAAATAATCTTAATTAAAACTCACATTATAAAATAAGCCGCCCTGGCCAGATAAAATTCAATTGTATTTAGCATTTAAAATGTTGCTTAAATAAAAAGGTCTTGACCTGGCGCCGAAAAACAATTAACAATGGTGCCAGGCGGACCTCTCTGGGGAGCGCATTCCATAGATGGGGCGCCACCGCTGAGAAAGCCCTCCTCCGAGTAGCCACCCTCCTAATTTCTCTCACGGAGGGCTCCCGGAGAAGGGCCTCTCCCGCCGATCTCAGGGGGCGACTGGGCAAATATGGATGCAAGCGCTCCTTTAGATAACCAGGTCCCAAGCTGTTGAGGGCTTTATAGGTGATAACCAACACCTTGAATTGGGCCCGGACTTCAATGGGAAGCCAGTGAAGCTGACGGAGGACTGGGGTTATATGAGCACAACGCCCAGTCCCTGTCAGCAGCCTGGCAGCTCTATTTTGCACCAATTGAAGTATCCGGACCGTCTTCAAGGGTAGCCCCATCTAGAGCACGTTACAGAAGTCAAGTCGGGAAGTCACCAACGCGTGTGTCACTGTTGCAAGGCAGTCGTACTCCAGGTAGGGGCGCAGCTGATGAATCAGCCGAAGCTGGAGGAAAGCGCTCCTCGCCGCCGTTGTCACCTGAGCTTCAAGTGAAAGCTCCGGGTCGAGGAGCACTCCCAAGCTGCGGACCTTGTCCCTAAGAGTGAGTGCAACCCCATTCAGGACAAGGTCCAGGTCCCCCATCCCGAAGCCCAACCCACCCACCAACAGGACCTCTGTCTTGTCTGGATTGAGCTTCAGTTTATTGGCCCTCCTCCAGCCCATTACCTCGGCCAGGCACTGGTTCAGTACAGCCACTGCCTCACCTGGATCGGTTGAGAAAGAGAAGTAGAGCTGGGTATCATCAGCATACTGATGACTCCACAGCCCACACCTCCTGATGTCCTCTCCCAGCGGTTTCATGTAGATGTTAAATAGCAAGGGGGACAAAATGGACCCCTGCAGAACTCCATGGCATAACTGCCATGGTGCAGAGTCATAGTCCCCCAGCACCACCTTCTGGAATCGGCCATTGAGATAGGAGCGGAACCACTGAAAAGCAGAGCCTCCAACTCCCAATCCCGCTAGCCTATCCAGAAGGATACCATGGTCGATGGTATTGAAAGCCGCTGAGAGGTCCAGGAAAACCAACAGGGACGCACTCCCTCTGTCTTTCTCCCTGCACAGGTCATCATACAGGGCGATCAAGGCAGATTCAGTACCATACCTGGGTCTGAAGCTGGACTGAAATGGGTCCAGATAGTCAGTTTCATCCAAGAGTGCTTGGAGTTGTCCCACCACCACCCACTCTAACACCTTGCCCAAGAATGGGATGTTGACCACCGGTCTGTAATTGGCGGCCATCTCTGAATCCAGGGATGCCTTCTTTAGGACTGGCCGGACTACCACCTCCTTTAAAGGGGCAGGTACCCGGCCGTCCCTTAGAGAGGCGTTGACAACCTCCAGGATCCAGGTCCCTATCCCGTCCTTGGCTTTCTTGAGTAGCCAAGATGGGCAAGGGTCCATTAAGCAGGTGGTAGGACGTACTTGTCCAAGCACCTTGTCACATCATCAGGCCGCAACAAATGAAAGTCATCCAACAATTTTGGACCAGACGGCAACATTGGCACCTCCCCAGAAGGTTCTGATTCACTAGTAGAGTCCAGCTTGTGATGAATCTGAGCGATTTTCTCCTTGAAATGCTTGGCAAAGTCATCACAGCGGGCCTTCGAGGGTGGCATGAGATCTTTCTTGGGGCCAGGATGAACCAGCCCTTGTACCACCCGAAAAAGCTCTGCCGGACGGTTAGAGTTTGTGATCACTGGTGGGAATAGAATGATCAGTAACCATTTCTCTAAGCTAGTCTTGCTCTTTCTGTGCTCAGGAAATGTGTTCCTAAACCCCTTTCAGCTGGAATGCAAAATTTATATTTATATTTCCATTTATATGCTGCCAAATACTTAAAAGTTCCTAGGTGGCTTACAAAAGTCATGGAGCCACTTTCCGTAATGGCCTTGATTCATGTTCCCTCTGCCATTTAGATGCTTGCTAGATACGTATATGGAGCACAGTAGTTACATTCCCACTCACATTGCTGTGCCTGTGTGTCTGTGTGTGTCGATAGCTTTGCACCAAAAGTTTTGTTGCAGTTCTCATAAAAAGTTGGGAGCACAGTTCTGTTTCTAGCCAGCTACTAATAATTCCAGCCATACCGTGTTAAAAGTCCAGTGGCTCTTGTGTAGCATTGTCATCCCCACGATCCATCCCATTCCACCACCCCAGTGCCGAATGGGCTGATTAGTACCAGTGAACATGTCTCTGATCCGATCCGATCTGCTGCAGGTTGCTCATCCAAAGTGAATCGCAAAGCAGGCTTATGGGCTCAGACATTCTGCTTCCATCGGAGCCTGTCTCATGGTGGAACAGCTGAGTAACGAGCTGCCACCTCTTTCCATGAACTCCAGCTGAGTAAGGGGCCGAAAGAGCTGGCAGGGAGCCCAGTCATTCCCCTTCTAGCTTTGAGGCTGATGTTCATCTGGCTGGCTTAGCAGAACAGGCCCAGTTGCTCCTGCCACGTCCCTTAGTCTTGCTCAGAGGTGTTCACAGTTGTACAGGTTCTGCGCCTTTGAACTGAGTCTCGGGCACACACTGGCGGAAGACCAACTGGCGAGTCCATCGCAGTGTACTGAGGCTCACACACAGCAGCAGAGCAGCCGTCTAAGGAATCACACCATACAGTGTACATGAAGCAAAGATGTGGAAAAGACCTTGAAGCACATAGTTAAACTATGGAATTCGCTACTGCAAGATGTTGTGGTGACCATCAATTGGGATGAGTCCAACAGCACCCACTGTCTTTCTCCTCTGGTTTAGATCGTTAGAAGTGACCTGAAAGAACTCAGAGATACAGATCTGAAAGGAGCACCATATGGATATACCCCCTTCTGTGACAGTCGCAAAGAAATGGATGGTTACCGTTTCTGGAAGTCTGGCTACTGGGCTTCACACCTCGGGAAACGAAAGTACCACATCAGGTAGGCCAACCGAACAAGTCAGCCTCTCTCCACCATCTCCATCCAGTGTATAAAAAGGCAAGTCCATGTCTACTGAAGTTCTGTGCACAGAATCACACTTAGTGGGGTATCCTGAAGGACACACAGACAGTACAGACCCTCGGTGGGGGTTGCATTTCTTCATTTTACATGTTTTGGCTAACAGGATTGGGGCACCATGTTTGTCATTTTCTCAGGCACAAGGAAACATGTCCTAATATACTGCTGCCAACCTTAATTCCTTTTTGCAGTGCTTTATACGTTGTGGATCTGAAGAGGTTCCGGAAGATCGCTGCAGGAGACAGGCTGAGAGGGCAGTATCAAGCTCTCAGTAAAGATCCAAACAGTCTTTCCAACCTAGATCAGGTATGTTGCAACCAGTGGTGCATGTCACTGCGATAAGTACCCTCTGAACTTTTAAGTATGTAAATGGCCTAGAGTCTGTTGCTCGCATTTCAAAATAACCAGGAGACAAGATGAGGCTGTGTCCCAGTGGGAAGGGTAGAGAAATGTCCGTCCGAGGGGTTGTGATGAGAGCTTTTCCTTAGTCCTCGTTTTTTGGCCCTGCCCTGCATGTCCACAGGAAGAGCGTGGCAGGCAGGGAGCCCATCCCCCTCGTTCTCGCTGCAGCCGCTGCGGTGTAGCTGGCGTGCGGCACAAGACGGAGCGTTCCGGTGTTTGTGCATACAAGGTGAGCAGCTGGCATTTGAGCACCCCGGTGGCACTGCTAAAGCGTGGCCTTGCCTTTCAGGACCTCCCAAACAACATGATTCATCAGGTGGCCATCAAATCCCTTCCGCAAGAGTGGCTGTGGTGTGAAACGTGGTGCAGCGATGAATCCAAGCACAAAGCTAAAACCATTGACCTGGTGAGTGCCGTTTAGGGTAGCCCTGCTCCTCCCTGTCCTCCATGGTAAATAGCCTACACGGGATGAGCTTGGAGCGCTGACCCTATAAGCTGCTGGGCAACGGTAAGCTTCTGCACGGATCCTGAGTTCCAGCCTGTGGCTTGATCAGGACTGGGCGCTCAACGCACAGCCTTGCTGCTGGCCGCCCTCCGCTCTTACGGTGGGTGAATGTGAGCAGCGGAGCTACGGAGCTCCTGCGTGTGTCGGAGCGTGGATGCTCCCTGAGTCCATTGGCCTTGTTGTGTCACAGTTAGAGCTTGGGACAGGCTAGTCCTCCTTTTCTGCCCCGTGATACGGGCAGTGGGGGCTGCGAGGCCAGGCGTGGTGAGGTAGGAAACTGGCCTTAGTGCAGGGACGGCCTGGCATGCCTGGCAGGGAGGACGGTTCCCACCCGCTGGGATGGATGCAG